CTTTCTGGAAACACGAGAGGCGCGCTCCTATTGGTTAGTAGATGAGGTAGACGAGTCTCACGGCGCCGCAGCGTAAGTACTTACTATACATACGTAGTATACATATGGGTGTTACAAATGTTTTTATTACGAGTAATATTACTCTGTTATCTAAGCAAGTAATGTGTGCTTATTTTGAACTTGATAACATTCTGTATTACTCGTATATCTTTCAATATCTTTAGCGGTATAAACCAGGTTATGTACTACTACTAGTATTGTTAGTGAGGGATAAAGTTGATGAACAAAAATAAAACAATATTCGTATTAAAAATATATTCATCTAATATTTTTGGCATTATTTTTAAGTTTCTTCCAAATACAAGGGGTCTGACATGGGGTGTTATGTACCTACATTAAAAGATACTTTTTGAAATGTATGAAAGAAATGTATGTACCTACATTAAAAGATAATTTTTGACATGTATGAAATGTATGAAAGAAATGTATGTACCTACATTAAAAGATAATTTTTGACATGTATGAAATGTATGTACCTACATTAAAATATAATTTTTGAAATGTATGAGATGTATGAAAGAAATATATGTACCTACAAGTTCATTTTTGAAATGTATGAAATGTATGAAAGAAATGTATGTATGTACCTACATTAAAATATATTTTTTTAAATGTATGAGATGTATGAAAGAAATGTATGTACCTACATATAAAGATCATTTTTGAAATGTATGAAAGAAATGTATGTACCTACATTAAAAGATAATTTTTGACATGCATGAAATGTGTGTACCTACATTAAAACATAATTTTTGACATGTATGAAATGTATGTACCTACATTAAAATATAATTTTTGAAATGTATGCACCGTACAATAACAATACACGTTAAACATTATACCACAGAGTCATACGCAAGTTAAAAACAAACTGCTATGATATATTAATGAGAAAGGAAAATCAACTTTATGGTATTCGAGTTAGGGTCGATTTCTCTCTTTTTTTTTAAATACTATTTTAATCTTACCAGTTGCCAGTATTCGAAGACAGCTACGATTAGTACTGGATATTTTAAATTATTATGTAATCGATTATTCAGTACAAATGTAAATAACCAACGACACTAATAATGTACTACTATATTCCGTTCTTTGAAACGGAACACTGCTATAATACAAAATAATGAAAATTTACTGTTCACAACGACTCATTAAAAGCATCATCGAATAATGCGCTGTAATAAAATCCTGTTATCGATTATTAAAAAAAATCGATAATACATGTATTTATTTTTAATATGACAACACTTCATACATAAGTATTATTGGAAATAGTATTACTTGCTTGTTCGGCTATTTTTAATTTACTTAAAATTTTTTTATATGTTTAATTTACAATAATAATATATTAAGTGCTTATTATTGGAAAATATAAAAAAGACATTTAATTAGGCCGATACAAATGACGACAATGCCATCTATGAAAGCATTTTGAAAACATTGAGCCCCATATTAGCACTGATTAAAGTGTAATTAAGTACCTACTGGAAAATAACAAAATGAGTAAATATATGAAAATTACTTTTCTAAACGCATTATTTCATTTTAACATGTATATATAACTTTTTAAAAATTGATTAAACATTTTTGAAAACACAGTTTTGTTTTTTAAAACGTTTGCAAAACTATGAAGAATTCCATCGATACCAATCACGCCATCTATATGCAACTTTTAGCAATAATAATGGCTACTTCCTCATTGAGTGCCACTGCCAAGGGTGTACTTTGATTAGGGTAGTTAAATAAATTAAACTACGGAAACTTTTCCACAGTGTTTGTTATATTATGTAATTAATCATTATTAAAAGACGAACGCATATAGCGTTCCAAAAAAAATCTAATTAGCGTGATGTAGAAAAAAGTATAAAACTAAATAGCGCCATCTAGTGGTACACTTAGGAATTAAAACAAACATGTAATCTCGTTCGATTTTACGAACTCTGAACAATTAATATAGCACCATCCAGTTCCACGGTAGGCAGAATTATTATTATGGCTACTGGACAATTGATATTTAGATTTTTTTTAAATACATACCTAATGTACATAAAATACATCCAACAATAAAGTGGCTGATTGACGATAAAAATAATTTAAGCAGAGAAACTCGCTCATACGACGTATTCACTTTGTTTATAGGTCAGAATCTCCGGAGCGCGAGCGCCCAGTGAAATCCGAGGCCGTAGCGAAGGCGGAGGCCGAGGACGAGGCCGGGTCCTCGGAGGAGGCGGAGGAGGCGGCCGGGCCCTCGAAGGAGGCGGCCTCGGAGACCTCCGAGGCGGAGGCGGCGGAGGCGGCGGAGACGGTGGAGGCGGCGGAGGCGGCGGAGGCGTGGTACTCGGCCGGGCGGTACTCCCCGGCGCTGCTGTGTGCGGCGTCGCTGGAGCCCGGCACCATGCTCACCGAGCCCGCAGACGACCTGCAGCGCCTCGCCTACCTCCGCGCCGCGCTCGCACCGCAACAGGTCGATTACCTCACCTGCCCGTATTCGTTATTTCATAAGCAACGATCCATAAGTCGCCGGTTCAGACCCGGCTCGAAGGACCAGTTTTACGGTCGTACCGCATCTATGAAAACATTTCTTATAGCATCGTAATCTCGATTTGTACTGATATCTAATTGAACACGATTCGTTTTTATCGTCGAGAGCGTCGATTTTCCTTTATTAAATAAGTAAGTGTGTGCAGCGCGCGGAGGCCTCGGACTCCCGGTCGCTGGAGCAGCAGGCGGCGCGCGCCATGTCCGCGGGCGGAGCCCCCGCGCCCGGGGACCACGCCGCCGCCTTCAGTGTGGAGCACCCGCTGCCCGAGCAGCCCTGCCTGTGGGCCGACAAGTACCGCCCGCGCAAGCCGCGCTACTTCAACAGGTACCCATCCGGGCCCGACCTAAGCAAAACTGATACAAATCTTTATATACAAAAAATTACGCGTCACGTTGTTTGTCCGCGATGTCTCCTAAACTACTGAACGATTGCAAATTTGATTTGCACATTGTGTGCGATTTGATCCAACTTTAAAGATAGGATAGCTTACATCTTAATTTGTAGTCGCAATATTATTTTATTCAAGAACTAGCCATAGCCTCAGCAACTTGTAACCGGTGTAGTATTTATATAAGTTTTTTCACGCAAAAACTGCTGAGCGAATTTTGATGAAACTTTACAGTAACATAGCACATAGGCTATATTTTATATTGAAATTTAACGCGGGTGAATTCGCGGGTACAGCTAATCTTCCATGATTAAATAAAAATATTTCCCGTATAATTTCAGAGTGCATACAGGGTTTGAGTGGAACAAATACAACCAGACCCACTACGACATGGACAACCCCCCGCCGAAGATCGTGCAGGGCTACAAGTTCAACATCTTCTATCCGGACCTCATTAACAAGAATGCCACCCCTGAGTTCTCACTGGTGACTACATTCACTTGAATTGACTTTTGATGCTTTCAATCGTCCATAGGCCACTAGTTCATATCCGGCTCAAAGGACCATAAAGATGTATGAGTCTGTGACCCACACAATCTGGATGCTATGATGTATAAAGGATAAGTCCGGGCTGCTTTCCAACTTGATATATTGAGTACACGATGATCGAGTGTGGACTGATGCTTGCCTGCGAGTATTTGGTGTACTGAGGGGAAATGGTATGTGTGGGCGTTATATGGACGCGGAGCGGTGTAAAATGCTGACGGCTGTACAATGACGCACCGTACAGCTATGGTAACCGTTTACCATTAGATAGATCGAGTACTTGTTTGCCAACGTCGTAGAATAATATAAAAAAAACAAATAATCTGTAATATTATAAATGCAAAAGTAACTCGCATAGTCTCGCTTTCACGCCATAACCACTGAACCGATTTAAATGAAATTTGATACACAGATAGTCTAGACCCTGAGAAAAGATATAGGCTATTTTTTAATGTAAAAAAAGGGTTCAAAGGATTTGAAAGAGAATATGAATTTTTATATAGAAATATCGTCATTTTTAAAGCTTAAACGTTTTTTATACTGTTATATTGCTGCTTTTTTTTATTATGTTCTGCGCTTAGTTGTTAAACTTGATTGAATATACATAAATTTGATTTTCAAAGTCTAAAAAAATGTTCCTTAAACTTACATCTCCTATTTTATATTACCCTCTATATTAATTTTTTAAGGAATTCCAAAAGTAAAATACAAATAACTAAATAAAAGGGGCGGAGCCTAATTGAGACACGTTATGTAACCAACATAACGTGTCTCAATTAGGCTCCGCCCCTATCCGATATTGTCCGAAACTTATATTTCGGATTCGGTTACGGTTACGAATACTTTTAAATCGGATATCCGATAGTTTCGGTTACGGTTATGGAGCTCCCTAACAGCCCTGATATATACATATTAATACATATCTACATAAACATACATATACTTAATAGTGCACAGTTTTATATATAAGGTAATATTTATGTATTCTCTATTGCACTTTTAAATACATAATCCTGTATATTACAGAAACCGTGCCCCGAGAATGCAGACTTTGCGGTACTCCGGTTTCACGCCGGGCCTCCATATGAAGACATTGCCTTTAAAATTGTGAACCGAGAGTGGGAGTACTCGTACAAGCGAGGGTTTAGATGTCACTTCCACAATAACATTTTCCAACTGTGGTTCCATTTCAAGAGATACCGATACCGTCGCTGAATGTTTCATATAGAACCAATAAACATGTGTCAGAATATATTTTTTTTTATTTTATTGGGCACCGCACATGCCTGCTTACTGTGCAATACACAATTGTATACTTTACTAATTTGTAATACAAATTCACCTCAATATAGTTATTTTAGTAATGAAATTCATCATCAAAAATGTAATATAGTGGCGTCACAACGAAAACAAATCCTCGGAACGGTGAGGTCGCTCCGTGAAGCCTGTGAAGATACCAGGAGACTTCTGCGCTTTTGGGAGGAGTTTGGCTGGCTACTATAGTAGTCTGGCTCTGCACGCACAACGGCCCGTATGAGAGGCTAATTGCGGAGACTGGAGTCCAACATAGAATACAATACAAATAGAAAATATACTATTACTAGCAACACACCTCGGCTTGGCATAAGTTTTCTAATTATATGTACATGTTGCCTTCCATTTGAATTCGGTAGAGGGTTGGAACCATACTAAGTGTCTGGCAATGAGCAGCGTAAGTTATAATACTGTTACGAACAATATGTGCAAAAATTAATGAATTTGATATGATAATTTTTACATCTTCGTTACCTGTCAAAGGAACCACTAGCCAGGATTCATGTTTGGGGATTGTTCTTACCAGGGATGTTATGGATATGTAATATTATGTTACCTGTGTTATGGATATGAAATTTCGGATATAGGAATGATTATTATACCGGATACGGATACGGATGCAGATATGAAATTATTTCGGATTATCCGCTAGTTTCGGATAATTTCGGTTATGAATATTTTTTTAAGGAATTTCAAAAGTAAAATACAAATTAATAATATGGTTACATAACGTGTCTCAATTAGGCTCCGCCCCTATCCGATATTATCTGAAACTTATTTCGGATTCGGTTATGATTACGGATATTTTTTTATATCGGATATCCGATAGTTTCGGTTACGGTTACGGATCTCCTTAACATCCCTGGTTCTTAACTGTGTTGGGGACACACATACAAGAACTATCACATATACTAATAAGACGAATGTCTGGCCGTCATGTGCTCTAGGCTATTTATTTGGATATAGAATTTTCTATAGTTTATATTATACTCAAATTTGGTAGAAAATGTCCAGTAGAAAACCCATGACAGCTACGAAGCCGGGGCGAGTAGCTAGTCTTGTTTCATATAAAAGAAGGTAATACTCAAACAAGCCTTAGCTAAGTGTGGATGAGATAATGCAATGTGAGGAAGTAGACTTACTATTATTAATAGAATTGTCCATTATTATTACAGTCAAGAAAAAGTTTACCTGGACGAATTAATCAATAGTAATTATAATTATTAATAATAATTGCAAAACTACCAAAAATTTACATACAAGAACTCATAACTAAATAGGCATTCATGCTCGACTATTTTGTATTTGAGATGAACCACGGGGGCACTCCATGTTGACATACACTGCAATGGGTCCTTTTGCCGCTTTTAATTAAGTATTCTTTAAATGTATTTTCTTTTATGTAATTTGATTACCAGCGATAAACAATTTTTATTCCTCTATTACTACATGTGGAGTCAAATAGAGCATGTGGGATTATTGAAAATAGATGTTTAAATTCATACACTTTAATATCTTATGTACATATATATATCTCTGCATCGAATTTGTATGGTGGCAATAAATATTACTACATATATAAATTCTCTGTATGGAGCGCAGACAGAAAGATATGTCTGATAAATAAATAATAATTAAAGTATCAGCATTGTATCTAATTGATTTATTAATTATTTACATATATAATAAGTTATTCTTGCTTGGGTTTGTCTCCCGCTGGGTTGGCAACTTCTTCTGTAGCAGGATTGCTTCTGAAGCTCGGGAACTGTTCCCAGGGTGCACTCAGTTCAAAGCGCCTGAACTCTTGCGCCAACTCTAAAGGCTCCACCACCACGCGCTTCTGTTCATCATCATAGCGCACCTCCACATAACCACTCAGCGGGAAGTCCTTCCTGAACGGATGGCCCTCAAATCCGTAATCTGTCAGAATCCTCCTCAAATCTGGATGGTTAGCAAAGAACACACCATACATATCCCATATTTCTCTCTCATACCAGTTTGCGGCTTTGAAGATGTCGCACGCAGAGTCCACCGGAGTCAACTCGTCTGTGTAAGTTTTGACTCTGATTCGAGCATTGTACCGTAAGGATAGGAGATTGTATATAATCTCGAACCTATTTGGTCGGGAAGGCACATCCATGCCCGCTATATCAACGAGATTGGCGAATTGTGCACTGTGGTGGTCTTTGAGGAACTGTAGCACTGGTATCACACCATCTAAAGGAATCAGCACTTCTAGTTCGTTTCCTGCTGTCAGTTGCACTTTCTGCACGTACTTAGGTAAACATTCGGCCACATATTTTCCAAAGTCAACAAGTTGAGCTTTCTGTAGAGGATCTAATTTAGCAACAGTGGGCCGAGTTTCAACTTGTGGTGTGGTTTGGTCCGATTTACAGGCTACGCGCTGAACGATAGGAGACCTAGCGTTATTTAACATAACTCGTCCCATACTGCTAGCCGCACCAGCGGTGCGTTTTAAGAAAAAGGACATTGTATTAAAAACAAATATATCCTTACGTAATTCGATAAAAGTACAGAACGAAATATGATCAATTCAGTGTTTCTTTTGAAGCTGGTGCAGCATAAAAACAGAAAGCTGTCAATCGATTACTGTCAACATTTCACATGTCAATTTCAAGATGTCAGTCTAAAATATGCATTAAAGGTTATCTAATTAAAATAAATCGAAAAATCCAATATTATATTTGTACGCAAATAATTCATCTATCTGCATAAAATAATTTTGGAATAAAGGATAAAATCGAACTATGAGTCAACTACGGTAAATCTTAAAGAAATCTGTGAAGGTACTCTGCACAATCACAGATAACATAATATTACAGAGCACAATATAATACAGATGCTACAAATGTAGAGTACATTTGTGTGACCATGAAATCTGTCAATCATTACACGACTTTCGTATTTTCTTTCAATTTAATGTCATTCTTTCATTCAATCCATCCTATATTATTCTGTATAATCTGTATTCTGTTTTCTATTGTATTGTTTGTTACTTAGATAATTTTTTGTTTGTAAAACTTTCTTAAATTGAATGTTTATTTGAATTCGACAACATAAACAAATTTATAAGTATTCTTTATGTGGTGGCAATATTATAGAATTTACATTTATACTTAATGGTTATGGATTGATATATATAAAAGCGTATTAAAATTTAGGTTTGTTTAAATAATACCACGTGAGTTTTTTAAGCCGGTTTCATTTTTTGATAATTGTCGATTATTGTGACTTTATATTTAATTTCGATGTTAATTTTAGTCGTCACAATGGATTCGGAGGTGGCTGATTTGAAGAAGGTCCTGCGTTCACTGGTGGTGTCCAGCCCCAGCGAAGTGGATCTTCGAACATTGTTACGTGATTACAGGAATATGATGGGAGGGCCTATTCCACTTGCCAAATATGGATATAAAGATGCGCTCACGTTCCTTAAAGAACGTTGTGATGACTGTTTTCTGGTAGGTAGAATTTAGTAGACATAAATACAAGCTATATGTTCCTAATCAAAGATTGGCACTTTTGTCAAATAATGTGTATTGTATGGCCATAAAATTTTAAATCATCTTCCAGACAATTTAAAAAATTTGAACAATAAACAATTTAAATAGATTAAGTATTTAAAGAATTATTAAATAAAAATGTTATTATTCCAGAAATGATTCTTTAAATGACAATAATGGATTGTAATAATATTAAATACCCTAAACTTGCCCCCTAATATATACTGCCAACTACAGAAGGCTGTAATTCTAAACATATGCTGCATCGTCAGAAATTTTCTAAAAACAGATTAGACCAATGTTTATAGTAATATATGTACATATATTCACCTCAAAATATAACATTGTTATGTACTTGGCTTAGGACCGTACATACCAAAATTACCGGCGAAACTGAGATGAAAAAAAAAAAATTAATATAATAATAATCTAATATTAATATCATTGTAATTTTTTTATACGCCTGCAATGGCAGGGCATGTTTGGAATTATTATAATCTTAAGACCATTATGTACACATTTTCCAGTAAATAAATTGAATTGAAAAACTTTTAATATAGCTTCAGTAGAGGATGAGAAACATGAAGAATAGTCTTGATTTTAACCTGTTAATCGAGCGGGACATATAAATATGTCCAACATCAAACTTTTTTGTATGTGTAGGATATATGTATACCTACATTTTTTAATTTCTACTGCACCCTGGAACCTAGAGCGGGTGGAATATTTCATATCAAAAATATATACATTAAATTATATTGTGCTGACATACTGACACATACTAGTGAGAGACAGTGCCCGTTATATCGTTCAAAAATATATCAATTTTTCACTCTCAGTTTCAGGGCCCCCTTAGTAATCCTATATTGACATTGATTGTCCCAAAAACCTTACAACACATTGACAAATTTGTACAGAAACAGAGGAGTAATCAAAGTGGCAAATGGTAAGTTATAATGATGTGTTAAATTATTAATATTATCAACTTATCCAACATTTGATATGTCATTTCATCTCGAAATCATTACGGTAGATTTGACATATCATAAAAGTCTGTCATAGACTTTCCTGAATACAGATAAACTGGAACTGATGTAAGTTTATCTATAGAACTGTGGCAGAGTTAGTCTTCCATAAAAATTACAGACTCTTATGTACATATCATCATATCTTATATACAAATATTTTGAATTTGAATTTTGTAGTTAGATGCTATAAAAGAACTCTTACAGTATCACTGTAAAAGATTTATTATTTCTGTGATAAAGTAGTTTTTTACTTTTAGAGAAGTACACAGAATCATTATGCCGTCTATACATATAAATAAGTATAATTGGAGTGTCTGTTTGTAATATTGAAATAACCATTTTTTACTACATGCATATGAATATAAATACGGTACACACACCAAAATTACATTTTTTACAATTTTTGTCTTCATATTCATTCATAGTGAGAAGGTTACCTTTTATGTGTGTTCCATTTATTATTTTAAAGCTGATAAAAACTTAGACAAGTACCTACTATAGAATCTGATAGTGATTGTTATTGTACTTTTAGCAAGGGCAAAAGGAGAAGTATACCAGAGGCCATTGTAAAACCAATTGAACAAAAACCTAACAATAATATTGTAAGAACATTCAGAAAGCAAACCAATAATAGCACTACATGTTGCACTATTAAAGAGACTACCACTGTAGATGTAGATAGTCCATCAGAGAAACATGAACCAAAGGCTGAAACTAGTAAAATAGATATAAAAAATATAGACCGCAGTAAAGAACAGAATGACAGTCCTACGAATGAACTAAAAAGTTTTATGAAGAAACGAGCACTGAACAAGTCACAAGATTTGAACACGGATAAAATAGCCAGTGATAAGACATCATCAAAAGATTCTGGCAGACAAACATCATCCAGTGAGTCTTCTTATATATATATATATATATATATATACCTGCTTTTAACAGGCTGTGTAATTTTTTTAAAGTCGGACACATTCTTGGAATCTCCTTTGCCCTTTGACATTTTGCCAGTCGGTCCCTATGACTCTCAGTCAAAGACCATGTTTCGCATCCATATTTTACAAAGTACAATATACATATATAGAAACAGATAACAAATGTTTATTATTCTTTCATTATAATTTTTATAAAACAGGTGGCAGCATTTCCAAAGCAGCTCAGTTTGAAGAGTTAAAGCAAGAGATACAAGATTTGTTAGTGGACTATCCAGAAGGAGTTTGGTGTACCGATCTTATAAGATTATATCGGTAAGGAATATATATAATACTAAAAGGATGGGGGTCAAATAAATTTACATTCTTATGTACCAATGAAAGGTTTTAATTTTTGACGGCCTCGGTGGTCTAGCGGTCTAGCACACCGCTTTACGTCCGATGGTCGCGGGTTCGATTCCTCGCACGGCACAAACATTTGTATTCATGAGTATGATTGTTTGTATCGGTCTGGGTATTTTCTATGTATAATATGTAAGTATTAACGAAAAAAAAAAAATTATCTATGTATTTGTATCAGTTGTCTAGTACCCATAACACAAGCTTTAGTTAGCTTAACTTGGGTCTAGATGGCGCTGTGTGACTTGTTCTGAGATTATTATTATTATTATTAATTTTGTCTGGGAACTGACGAAAAAGGTTGGTGCTCGGGACAAACTGCCTTCGCCTTGGCAATTACAACTGGATAGCTAGATTAAGCCTCTAAGGGTGGGTCACTTTTAGCTAGGGATATTACTTACAAGACTAAGAAATGTAATCAATTTAAACTTAACTTTGGTTTTGTGTACTAATTTTTAATATATTATTTCTAAATAATTTAGTACCTCCCTATGTTTGAGAACAGTGGTGAGTATTGACCGTGTGTGGGTGGCAGGGAGCGTCAGGGGCGCGAGCTGAACTTCTCCCGGTTCGGGTACACGAGCATCGTGAGCGTGGCGTTCTCGCTGGCGCCGGCGGTTGCGGCGACGCAGTCCAGCGACGAGCCCGGCGATTGGCTGCTGCAGCTGGCGCGCCACGCCCCCCGCGCCGAGCCCCGCCCCCGGCCCCGCCCCCGGCCGCGCGCCAGGCCCCGCCCCGCGCCGCCGCCCCGCCCCGCCGCCCCCGTCGACCCCGACGACGCGCTGCCCGGCATCGACTTCGTACGACCCTTTCTACTGTCTTATCTTATTTGACACTCTCTAATTTAACATATAGGAGTCACGGGTTCGTTTCGGTTTAACCTAGCTGATATATTATATACGTGAAGGTTTGTATGGATGTGTGTTTGTTACTGTTTCACGCTAAAACTACTGTATTGTTTAAGGAAAAAAATATATAACTCATATATTAAGTCAGCGTACTATACATATGTAAAGCTAGGATTTATATAATTATTGAGAAAATTGGCCAAAATATATGAATAAATGTTACGTAAATCTGAATAAAATAGGCCATCTCGTGATTAATGGCAGTATTCATTGGTGTATGGTGTATGGTGGGTGTTGAGGACTGGGAGTCCTGAATTTATAAATAGGTCATATAGGGACTAGGGACGACAGATTTCAAAGGAAGACCGGTCATTCGATTTTAGAGGTCAAACAATTAGATTAGAGAAAATTATTATTTTAGAAAATATACCTCTATGGGACGTGGCCTACGGTCATCTCTACATATAAATAAAATTGGAGTGTCTGTTTATAATATTGAAATAATCGTTTTTTACTACATGTATATGTTTATATATACACCAAAATATTTATTTTACAATTTTTGTCTGTCTCTCTGTCGGTCTGTTTATTCCGGCTAATCTCTGAAATGGCTGGACCGATTTTAACGGGACTTTTTTTGGCAGGTAGCTGGCGTAGTAACTTAGGCTACTTTTATTTTAGAAAATTAAAGTTAAATTTCACGCGGACGAAGTCGCGGTAACGACTAGTTAAATATATAAATCCGATACTGTTCACCAAATAGACGTGTGCTCAGCATATAGGGTTAGGAGATACATCACGCCTGGACAGTTTTTAACGCTATACCAAGCACAGGTCCGATCTTGCATGGAGTATTGTTCCCACTTATGGGATGGATCCGCTCAGTGCCAACTTGACGCTCTAGACTCAATCGACAGACGAGCAAGGAGACTTATCGGGGACGAATCACTTGTAGCTAAGAGGCTTCAAAGTCCTAATCACCGACGTAAAGTAGCTTGTCTATCGGTGTTCTATAGGCTCCATTTTGGCGAATGTGCTCAAGAACTGCACAACCTCATTCCTCCAGCACCGTTCCATCAACGTACAACAAGACGTAGAGAGCGGCTCCACCCCTACACTATTGACATCCCAGCTGCTCGAACTAACCGTTTTGCGTCATCTTTCCTTATGCGAGCAGCTAAGGAATGGAACTCTCTACCAGCGTCTATTTTTCCTGCCTCTTACAACATTGGGTCTTTCAAGTCAAGAGTGAATAGGTATTATTTGAGCTTGCGTGTAACAGCTTAGACCACATCATCACTTAACATCAGGTGAGATTGCGGTCAAGCGCGCTCAGATTATGATATAAAAAAAAAATATTGCTGTAGCGTTTGTGGCGCTATAGCGGCGTTTCGAGGGGAGAAGTTTAAATAATGATATGTTGTGTCAGGACCCGGACGTGTTCCCGGAGGACTGCATGCACTACCTGGAGAGCATACCAGCGACGCCGCTGTCGGGGCTGCAGCCGGGCGCCATGCTGGAGCTGGTGGTGGGGGAGGTGTACTCGCCCTCGCACTTCTGGGTGCTGCGCCTCGGGGACCACCACTACGGCGCGCTCGACCGACTCATGGACGAGATGACGTCAGTATCGCTCGCTAGTTTATCACCGTCTGTGACGTTCGATCAATTGATGCGCAATGCGAATTGAATCTTTTCCGTATGGATAATAAGTTCATAATAAAAAGTATCCTGCATGCTATACATATAAATAAAATTGGAGTGCCCATTTGTAATACTGAACTAACCGTTGTTTACTATACGCATATGAATATATATACGGTACATATATCAAAATAACATTTTTTATAATTTTTATTTGTCTGTCTGTCTGCCTGTTTGTATCGGAACAGACCGACCTGGTTGTTCCGGCTAATCTCAAAAATGGCTGGACCGGATTAAATGGAACTTTTTTGGCAGTTTGTTTGGTAGCTGTTGTAATAAGAATGTGGGGTACACAATTAAAAGATCTTCGATTTTCAAAATATGTGGACTGTATTTCAATTTGTTTCTTATTCTATGGGTCGGCCGGCCGGAGTGGGGTTTTCTTGGTCGTTGCGCCGGCGGTGGTTCTTCGTCGGTGGCGTATGCGTAAGAGAGCGCGATCGAGAACCAACCCGCCTTTTACGGGCGCCCGAGCGCGTCCTTCCCCACCCCCGCCGAGCCGTGCGCGTCGGCCGTCCCACCCTCCCGACAATTCCTGCACATGTCGGTGACCGACGGGCCGGAACAGCGAATACGCACACATTTAAAATTAAATACAATAGTAACAACACAAAAAACTACAAAAAACCACGTGCGACTAAATGCCACATGTTCAGGCTACACTAAAGCTGTGATCCCTAAGAATTTACACAATGGGCGGACATAGAATTCACAGTATCTATGCCGCTACAAAGGGTATATGGTACAAACAATAGTCTAACCTAAACAATAGTCAAAACACTGGAAAAATACAAATTTATACACAAATTTATTTACATATTTTCGATGCCGACTCGTGGTACGCAACAGCCTCCCCCCGGCGCAGATCTTCGCAGCCCTTATCCCTAGGGAGGACCACTAGCCTTCGGGTCGGCCTTCGAAAAATTCCCCCTCGCGTCCTCACGTCCGCACTTCGCACCACGCCGTCGGGCCCCTCATAGGTGCGCTCCACTTGCCCGCGCGGCCACAGATTGCGAGGTAGCAGGCCGTCCACTATTAAAACCATGTCGCCCGGCTTGATGTTTGCCGTGCTCCGTCGTACGTCGTCTCTGGGCGTCAGCGTCGGTAGGTATTCTCGTAACCACCGCTGCCAGAATCTATCCGCGAGCGCCTGTGCTGCGCGCCACGTTCTGCGGTCGGCAACGTCGGTGGTACCTACGTACGGTAGGCCGACGGCTGAGCCCATCAGAAAATGGTTGGGGGTCAGCGCCTCTTCGTCCTCGGGTCGCACTGAGACGTGGGTTAAGGGGCGTGAATTGACGGTGTGTTCTGCTTCCGTCATTAGCGTTGCGAGCACCTCTTCTCTCGGCGCCCGCTCGTGCAGTACCACTGCTAGCGCTCTCTTCACGCTCCTTATCAGTCGCTCCCACGCTCCTCCTTGGTTCGGTGCGCCCGGGTCGCTGTACCGCCAGTTTATCCTCTTGTTGCTGACGTACTTTTCCAGTTCAGGGAGCCATTCCTTAAACGCAGTCGTAAGCTCCACGTCGGCTCCGCGAAAGTTCGTTCCGTTGTCCGACATAAAGGTTCGTGGCCAGCCGCGACGCGCTGCCATGCGTCGTATCGCCATTATAGCAGAGTCGGTCGATAACCCCGCTATGAGTTCTATATGCACGGCCCGGGTGACCATACACGTGAATAGGAGCCCCCATCGCTTCTCTCGCCTGCGACCTATCGTCACCCACATAGGCCCGAAACAATCCATACCGCATCTTGTAAACGGCCGGGCGTATGCGTCGAGTCGCTCCTTTGGCAAGTTCCCTTTCACTGGGACGTCGGGGTTCCTCCGGCGTACGGCGCATGTTGTGCATTTGCGTAATACGGTCTTGACGGTCGGCCTTAAACGCAGCATCCACACGTATTGGCGCAGGGTGTTCACCGTCTGTTCTCTGCCGGCATGATGATGTAGCTCGTGTTCTCTCTTAATCATCATCTGCGCCAACGGGTGCGCTCCGTCCAGTATGGGTGGATTCTTCATTTCTAGCGGCACCTGTGCTGCGTTTATACGTCCGTTCAAGCGTATTATGCCATCCTTGTAAACGGGATCCAGGCGGAACAGACGACTTGTCCTGTCTACGGTCTTTCCTTCGCGTAGACACCGCGTTTCCTTCGGGAAACTGTCCTGTTGCGCCTGCCGTATTATTAGTTGCTCCGCTTTGGCGAAATGCTCTGTGCCTAGCTTCTGTGCCCGTCGCCTGCATTTATCTGCGAACAGTAGCACTTGCGCCATGGTCCTCCTCACTCGGTCATATGAAGAGAACCGTGCAATGTCGATCACGGGTTCTGTCTCCTCCCGGACGTGTGCTACCATCTCTGCTGGGACGGGCTCGCTCTCATGAGGCCATTCTTGCTCCGGAGCGTACAGAAATGCCGGCCCGACAAACCATCTGTCGGCAGCGGTCATTTGTGTGTATCCCGCGCGGGTCGCGTCGTCGGCTACGTTGTGGGCAGTCGGTACCCAGCGCCACTGTGTCGGTTTCGTCAGTTCGGCGATTTCTGCCAAACGATGAGCCACGTATGGAGTATATCTGACGGTGTCGTTCCTTATCCAGTGTAGCACCGTTTTCGAGTCCGTCCATAGGAAGACTTCGGCCTCGCGACTATGTTCTTTCAATATGTCAGCGGCCAGTCGGGCTCCTATCAGGCTCGCCTGAAGCTCCATCCGGGGTATACTCTGCGCTTTCATGGGCGCTACCCTCGCTTTGGCTGCTACCAGGACGACGTTAACGCTACGATCCTCGCGTTCCGTCCTCCAATACGCGGCTGTGGCATATGCCTGTTCGCTTGCGTCCGTGAATACGTGCAGTTGCGACCGTTGGCTGTCGTTCGTGCCATACCATCGCGGCAATCTCAGTTCCTCTATATAGGCTAAGTCATCTCTCCATTCCTGGAACATCCGCGCTTCCTCGGCGGGCAGAGAGTCATCCCATTCGACCTTCTGCACCCACAGCGCCTGCAAGATGATTTTTGCCGTGATGGTGTAAGGGCTCAGCAGCCCGAGCGGGTCGAACAATGACATCACCGCTCCTAAGGCTTCCCTTTTCGTCGGTATCCGCGTGCCGTGCTTCACTTCTCGTGGGACGCGTGGCATGCCGGTGTTGAACGCCAGCTGGTCTTCGGCTGACATCCACAATAACCCCAATGTCTTTCCGTATGGATGTGCGTTGGCTCCCAGTTCCTTCGGCGTCCTCGCTCGCTGGTCCTCACTCACATTCTCTAGCAGGCTCGGTCGGTTTGTATTCCAACCCGCCAGCGTGAATCCTATCCCGCCATGAACCTCTACTACCTCTCGTATGGCGCGGGCTGCTTCCTCTTCGGAGTCAAAGCTATCGACCCAGTCGTCCATGTAGTGGTTCCTTGTTATGGCGGTGTACGCTGACGGGTGCGACTCTCGGTGCTCTGCCGCGTTCCTGTCTCGAACGCTGTGTGCGATGAACGGTGAGCTCCTCGCCCCGAAAATCATTGAGGTCATTACGTATTTCTGCGGCGGGTTAATCCTGTCATCTCCTCGCCACAGAAACTGTTGTGCTGCTCTATCTTCTTCCCGTATCTTAATCTGCAGGAACATCTCTCGTATGTCTGCCGTGATAGCTACGGGCTTCTCGCGGAAACGGTATAACACACCGTTAAGCGACCGTAGCATATCTGGCCCATCCAGCAGTACGTCGTTCAAGCACATTCCCTTCGAACGGGCCGCGGCGTCGAATACGAGTCGCAGTTTTCCGGGTTTATTCGGATTCGTCACTCCGAAATGGGGAAGGTACCACGCGCGGTCGTTGTTGAACCGGTCGTCGGTTACTTTCTCGGCGTAACCCTTGTCCAACAACTTGTTTATCTCCGCGGTATACGCCAGCCGGAATTCCGTAGAGCGATCCATCCGCCGCTCTATTCCCCTCAGTCGGCTCGCTGCCATGTCGTAGCTGGGAGGTAGAACGACGTTATCTCTCTCCCACGGCAATCCTACGACGTATCGTCCATCCACTCTCGTCGCTGTGCGGTTGAATGTGGCGACGGCGCGCTCCTCCTTAGCGATGGGTAATCTCTTCGACGATATACCCAACGCGTCGATGTCGTAATGCGCTTTTATTATGCCCTCTATATGCCGCATGTCTGGCTCGGCGTTGCGCTGTGTCAACCGCACGTGGAGGACATGTTCCTCGTCTTCCACGACACTTCTGGGTACCGTTCCGTGGATGACCCATCCCAGTCGTGTCAGCGACGCTGCGGGTTGATTGTGCCTTCCTATGAGCAGCTTCCGCGTAACAATCAGATGCCAGTTGTCTGACCCGATCAAGACCTTGGGTCTGGCATCTTCGTAGCACACTTGCTCGCAAGTGAGTTGTCGCAGGTGTCCGTACGCGAGTATTTCCGGGTTCACTCGCTGCGTTCCTAGGGTGAGGTCCCGGATCGTACGCGCCCTCACCGAGTGTTCTTCGTCCGTATGGTGTCGCCCTCTGATGATGACATCAGCCACTCGGCTTGAGGCTTCGTGCCAGCTCGAGGCCGCTCCCTGAATTCTCAGAGATCGCGTCGGACCTTCGGCTCCGATCTGTTCTGCGATCTCCGCATCGATGAGTGTAACCGTCGAGCCTTCATCTAGCATCGCGTACGTCTCTACTTCGCGTCCCGTCTTGCCTTTCACGATGATGGGACACACCTTTAACAACACTTGGCTGTTCTCTGGCAAGCGTGCTGCGGCTGTAATCGCGGTGTCCTCTTGCCGCTTCGGCGGTTCTTCTGGGGGTTGCAGCAGGGCGTGGTGTGGCTTACGACACTCTCTCACACCACATTTGCGTGCCTTACACTTGAACCTTCTGTGCGTGCTGTTCATGCATTGGAAGCACATCTTATTTGTTTTCGCCCACTCCCATCTGTCCGATAACGACATGTCGTTCAGCTTCTTACACTTCGGCGTTACGTGTGCGGCGCCGCAACAGAGACATTCGGTACTCTGTTCGCTCTTTTCTACGGCGGCGTATACGGCCGCGCCACGATCCGTCATCTGTCGCCGAGGTGCCGACATCGTTGCTTTCGGTATGGGTTGCCTAGTGGGTTGCTTCGGGGGCTGCTTCGTGGGTAGCGCGCTCGTTCGTCTCGTTGGTGATGCTATTCGTAGATGTCGGGTCATGAGATCGGCTTCGCTCATTAAAAACTCTGCCATCTTGATGATCGTAGGTCTAGTGTCCTCCTTGTTTTTTTCAGCGTAGTGACACCAGTGGACCTGTAAGTGAGGGGTCAGCTTCTCTGACACTTCACTCTCAAGCGCGGGATTATGTAGGAATCTCGCCCCCTTGTCGATATCCGCGACGATGGTGGTGATGTTCTGTAGTTTAATGGCGAAGTCAATCACCTCTGTTGTCGATGTTCCTATTACCGGCATCCTTCTCAGATCTTTGAGGGCGCGGTCGATGATGGCCTCTGTCCGGCCGTACCGCTGCTCCAACGTCCTCATGATCTGCGACGGTTCTGTAGCGGATACGAGTAACGCTGCGACTGTCTCTCTCGCTTTTCCACGTAAGCAGGCCCTCAGCCTGGCCAGGTTCTCCGCTGGTGTGATCCTGTACGTCTTTGTAGACTGGTCTACGGCCGCCTTAAACGCTAGCCATTCACTTGCTTCGCCGCTGAAGATCGGGAGATCTTGGGCTTGCCTCGGCGCTACCCTATCCGCTCGTTCGTCCACAGCTCGTTCAATAGCTTTGGCCAACCGGGTGAATCCTTCTTGCATCCCGGCTTCAGGAGCGGGGGACCTCCGTCTTTGCTTCGGCGTCCTCGGCGGTGAAGCTTGCCTTTCTGTTGGCTCTTTCTGCGTAGGCGGTGGGGAATTAATTCTCTGCTCCCCCCGTACTTCGGTACGTTGAAACCAATCCGTTATACGTTGCAGGCCGGCACCTTCCTCGGAGCACACGCTATCTCTATCGGTCTCTTCATGTACCGCGGCGACATCGGCTGCCAACTTCTTTCTAATTAAATCAGCCTGTAATTTCGCCATCTGTAGCGCTGCCTCGTACTCCAGCCTCTTTAATTTAGCTATACCGCTAGCGGTAGAGCGGCGCGATCGCACCGACGCGGCCCGGGCCGGACGTACATCTGTCGTCGGCGGCTGCGACGGTGGCGCCGGTGCGGAGTCCGAGGTAAACGCGGCGCGGGCGGCTTGTGCCTGTGGCGCGCTCGACGGCGCGGCGGACGCGGACATCTGCGTGGTTTCTGAAGGGGACGCTTCTGTCTGTTCATTTTCCCGCGTGGTCTTTTTCTCTGCTCCCGGGGCTTGGCTTCTCGTAGTCGGCATCGTGTTCTGGCACTTGCAAGCCCCTAACCTACCGGTCCCTACCTACCTAACCGTCCCTAACAATCCCTCAGGATAACACCCGAGGGGATGGACTATGGGGATAGGAGGGTAGGAATTACCCCGCAGTGGTGCGTATGTACAGACGGGGCGCTCAGGGCCGGTTCGGACTCTCCGACCCCTTTGGCAGTGCCTACAGTCCGGCCCCCGCTATACGATACACACGTACAGGCGTAATAGTGCTATTCGGTTGCGCCACGGTAACAAGCAACAACCGGCAGTGACACACCACCCACTGCACCGCTCAATGGCGTTAACCCACACTCCGACCGTTTGACACCGTTAGGTGGTATGAGATGTGAGCCGCGGACACACCGCTTAAACGTTATCTATCCTATATGGCGTAGACGTTATTTATCCTATCCTCGCTGCACCCTCAAGTTTTCACCTTACGACGGCAGCTAAATTCGGTAAGCTGCTAGCGTCGCACCGTTGGGTGATCTTCCTCGGCGAGGTACGTCGCACCGTTGGGTGATCTTCCGCGGCGATTCGTCGCACCGTTGGGTGATCTTCCACGGCGATTCGTCGCACCGTTGGGTGATCTTCCACGGCGATTCGTCGCACCGTTGGGTGATCTTCGGTCTTGATATGCGGCTGCGATGGACCACAAAATTTTGGGGTACACAATTAAAAGATCTTCGATTTTCAAAATATGTGGACTGTATTTCAATTTGTTTCTTATTCTATGGGTCGGCCGGCCGGAGTGGGGTTTTCTTGGTCGTTGCGCCGGCGGTGGTTCTTCGTCGGTGGCGTATGCGTAAGAGAGCGCGATCGAGAACCAACCCGCCTTTTACGGGCGCCCGAGCGCGTCCTTCCCCACCCCCGCCGAGCCGTGCGCGTCGGCCGTCCCACCCTCCCGACAATTCCTGCACATGTCGGTGACCGACGGGCCGGAACAGCGAATACGCACACATTTAAAATTAAATACAATAGTAACAACACAAAAAACTACAAAAAACCACGTGCGACTAAATGCCACATGTTCAGGCTACACTAAAGCTGTGATCCCTAAGAATTTACACAATGGGCGGACATAGAATTCACAGTATCTATGCCGCTACAAAGGGTATATGGTACAAACAATAGTCTAACCTAAACAATAGTCAAAACACTGGAAAAATACAAATTTATACACAAATTTATTTACATATTTTCGATGCCGACTCGTGGTCCGCAACAAAGAAGTAACTTAGGATATTTTTATTTTAGAAAAAGAATATTAAATTCTACGTGGACGAAGTCGCGGGAACAGCTAGTACAATATAAAATCACGAAAACCGCTCGATAATAGCATTTATTACAATAACCAACTTTGTAATAATGTCCAGTCTATGTGATAGTATCAGTTAGAAAAATTTGCTATTTCTAAACTATAATAATAATAATCTCAGGACAATCCACACAGCGCCATCTAGACCCAAGTTAAGCTAGCTAAAGCTTGTGTTGTGGGTACTAGATAACGGATACAAATATATAGATATATTTGTTTTGTAAATACATACATATTATACATAGAAAACACCCAGACCGATACAAACAATCATACTCATGAATACAAATGTTTGTGCCGTGCGAGGAATCGAACCCGCGACCGTAGGTCGTAAAGCGGTGTGCTGGACCGCTAGACCACCGAGGTGGTCTAAACTGTTTTCATAACACTAGTTCCGTAGTGTGAGTGGAGATTAAAAGGTAGTCCCGTGGCGGCAGGGAGTACTACGGCTCGGGCTGCGGTCGCGGGCGGCGGCTGGCGGCGGGGGCGGCGCGCGCGGGGCAGTACGCCGCCTGCCTCTACGACGGAGACTGGCACCGCGCCCTCATACTCAGCGTCCTCGACTCCGACACCGTCAAGGTACCGCCCCGCTACTCATACACCACTGATATTCATTCAAATTAACTGACCTACTGCGGTTACTGTTACTTTGGTTGAACAAGTAGGGACCGTGAGGTTGAAAAGCTACTATTCAGGGTTCCAATTGAAACTACCAATCAATAGGAATGACAGGAATTTATTAAAAAAAATACAATAGGGAGACAAAGAAGAATCTAAATAGCGCCATCTACATTTACGTGTGGCACCATCTAGTTTGCACGCAGTGAACTAATATTATACATTTGGAAATATCTTAAACATTGGTTTTGGTAATTATTGTTCGTAACAATAACAAACTGATTTTACCTAAATGTCGTTTAACTACAGTTAGTAATTCATTTTATGGCAATTGCGTAAGGTTTTACAACAAAATACTAGAGTCTGTTATAAATCTGCTTGAAAAAAGATTTAAATGTCAAATAAAACGGTTCCTTTACAAAAAAGCTTACTATAAAATTGAAGAATTTGTTAACGATAATAATGTTTTTATAGAAAAACTTAAAATCCATAGCACTGACAATATTATCTGATTACAGTAATAGTCAGTGCTTAGCGAGTTCTGTATTGATTATCGCATGCCTGTTACTTGTTATACTGTAATTTATATTATATAAAAGAAACATCTATTTAAAGGAGCAACAACACACAAGTCGAGAACTTGTTCTTTTTGTGATGAATCTGCATTCTGAATGAGTGATAGAATCAAAATATGACTATTCAAAAGTGATTGTAATAAGTTTACTCGACTACAGATAATTTCTACTTCTATTTGGTTATATGTGAGGAGTCACATAGGGCTCACATCTCGGTCCCGTCCTTTCTATAACCGATATCGTTATCGAAGGACGCATAGTGACCGAGCGAGAGGCTCGTTTCGTCGATAGCGTCCGCCCGGCGGAGAGCTGGTAGCGACCGGAGCGTGTGTGTGTGCGTGTCAGGTGCGGCACGTGGACTACGGCACGGTGGAGACCGTGGCGGTGAGCAGCCTGCGGCCCCTGGTGCGGCGCTGGGCGGCGCTGCCCGCGCAGGCCGTGCGGGCCCGGCTCGCGGCCGTGCGGCCCGCGGGCGGGCGCCGCTGGCCGCGGGCCGCCGCCGCCGCCTTCCTGCGCCGCGTGCGGGACGCGCCGCTCGTCGGGAACCTGGTCGCCGTCGACCCGCAGGTACCGCGTGCGGCCCGCAGCTACCACGTGCGGCCCGCAGGTACCACGTGCGGCCAGCAGGTACGAGCAGCCGTGCGGGCCCGGCACGACCACGTGCGGCTCACGCCCATGACTACGCGCGACTCGCAGGTACGGTCACGTGCGGCCCGCAGATACGATCTCGTGCAGCTCGCAGGTACGAGCGGTATGCGGCTCGTCGGCGAGCGCTGCTGATTACACGCGTAGATATCAATCATTCCCCAACTGACCATCACTCGCAGTGACTACTTCCATTCGCTCGTCATAAGGTATGAACCGTTAAATCTACAACTTAGTGTAAAGTGCGGTGAAGAATAATTTATTAATTCCTAAATCAATTTTACTATTATTTAATTTTAATACTTATCTACTGGACGAAAATCATACTTATGAATTAAAAAACGTATATTAAAGCTATTCTATTTGGAATTAAAAAACGTATATACTGAGCGATATCGTATACAAAAATGATATTTAGTGTCCTTTACACAGGAAGACATCCTGGAGCTGTTCCTGGTGGACACGCGCGGCGAGGAGGACGTGTGCATCGGCGACGAGCTGATCCGGGCCGGACATGCCGACCCCCGCGCGGACTCCGCCGTGAGGGTGAGTAGCGGGCCGCGCGCGGCCGACCTCCGCGCGCTGGTGGCGGCCGTGGGCGAGCTGTCCGCGTCCGCGTCGCAGCCGCGCCGCATGCCCCCCTGGGACCCCGAGGACCCGGCCCCGCACCGCATGCCCACCTGGGACCCCGAGGACCCGGCCCCGCACCGCTTGTCCACCTGGGACTCAGAGGACTCGTCGTCTAGTGACATTACGTGGAGCCCCGAGGCCCCGTGCTCTCGTCGCACGTCCGCCTGGGACCCCGAGGCCCCGGCGCCGCGCCGCCTGTCGCCGCGGGCGGCGGCCCCGGCACCGAGCGGGCGACTGGCGCGGCTGCGCGCGCTGCACTGCGCCCCCGGCGGTCCGCCCCCGCCCCCGCCCCCTCCCCCTCCCACGCCCCCGCCCCCCTCGCCCCCGCCCCCCTCCAGCGCGGAGTGGATCACGAGCCGCGCGCTGCGGCGGCGGCTCGCGCTCGCCAGGAAGCTCCACGTGGCCGCCCCGTCTCCACTAGACTCTGTACCGCGACCGACGCGCAGACCCGTCTCGCATAACATATAATCTTTGTAAATAAAAGTTACGCGTCAAACGTGCGCGATGGACTCCTGAACTACTGAACCGATTGCAAATTTGATTTGAACATTGCGTGCAATTTGGTCCAACTCGAAAGATAGCCTTCACACCGGCCTACCGGTATTAACTTGTGATATATTTGATTAGAACTGTAGGCAATAAGGAATGCCTGTACCCGCATGCTCTGTCGCGCACGAATCGACTTAAACTCGGGAAAGAGTGTTATATTTATTATCATATATATATAAATATATATGACATACAAATTTTGTAAAAACATTAACCTTAAAAAGGGTAAAATAATAAATAGTTTGTATGCAAAATCGTTATTTTTTAATCTAGAACGATGAAAAATTTCTTTAGGCGATTTAGATAGATAGATAGATAGAAGATAGAATATACTTTATTTGCAACGTACAGTAAAGAAGAAGCACAAACAATATAACAAAGGACACATGTATCGTTACAATTAGGATTAGTTTATGGGATCTTTTTTCCTCATTTGGTCAAGGTTACTATAACACGCATACGAAGTCACGGGCATAGCTAGTTGTTTTATAAAGTAGCGCATAATATTCCCAAAATACAACGGAAAACTAAAATAATGTGTATTTACTCTTAAGAATAAACCTAAGTCATTAATATTACCTAAGTAAATTTACAGGAAACTTAACATAATAAACTTGTTTGTAATTTATACGTACAATTAGGAAAAATCACGAGATCTTACCACTTTTTTTTTTCTTTTTATTGCGACCCGTGATAATTGTGGTTGAAAGACTACCGAAATATCGGGAACTCACCAAAGATTGTAATTTTTAGGCAAGGCCTATTACATTATATTGCTGTGACACCATCATCTTGTACATAAGTTGTGAGCCAATAATACAAGTTCAAATAAGAATTATAATACTTTAGTATGTAAAATAATATTAATAAAAATAATCTCAGAACAATTCACATAGCGCCATCTAGACCCAAGTTTAGCTAGCTAAAGCTTGTGCTACGAGTACTAGATAACTGATACAAAAACATAGATATTTTTTTCGTAAATACATACATATTATACATAGAAAATATCCAGACAGATACAAACAATCATGCTCATGATTACAAATGTTTGCTGCGAGGAATCGAACCCGCAACCATCACACGTAAGTGCTGGTGTGCTTGACCGCTAGACCACCGAGGTCGTCATCTTTGTAGTTCCATATGGGTCTCTAACGGGTTACTAGTTCAATATTTTTGTGCCATTTTTGTGCCAAGTTAATTTATATTTAACCTTCCGGTGATAGAATCGCCTGTTAAAACTAAGGTCCCACTTGATGAATATTATTGCTGTCATTTTCTCTTGCATTGAAAGACAATTTACAATATGCTACATGATATATAGTTTTACCTCGGTATTTCTAATATATGTTTTTACTACTCTAATGCTGTTGGCCGCAGCTGGCCTTTACAGCTTCACCGGACGATAGGGGGCGACTGCAGGTGGCACTCCAAACCAAAGGCCAAGTTGGCCTTCAGCCGCTCCATAAGTCCTTACTTATGGAGCGGCTGAAGGCCAACTCCCGCCTGACGGATACGCCTTTCGTCTGAGGGCACCGCTAGGGGTTCGAACCTCGGCTCAGGCCGTTGTAATTTCGATCCCCATTTGAATTGGAAGGAGGATCGATATAAAATTCTATTGTCACAATGTTTGTAACAAATCTTTTCCGAAACGGCTTGACAGATTCTTATGATATTTTTTGTGTATATACAGTGGCTCTGAGAATAGAACGTAAACTATTTTTCATACCCCTAAGTGGTTCACCCTCATTTTTTTTATTTTAATGTCTTTATGATTCGCCATTAATAAATATATACAACCCTAAATTTTCGGCCATCAACCCTCTTTTCCACCCCTCAATTTTTAATGGTGATATTAGTATTTCAATTTGTACATTTATATAGTAAAACAAATAAATTAAAACAACAGATTGATATGTTATAAATGAAATAACTTTCTTTCTGTTATTGATGTATATACTGTTTTTTCTACCAAGTAATATGTATATTTGGAATGAAAATTATTATGTATATTTGTTTGTTTTCTAATATATAAATAAAATGTAAACATATGTAAGTTCATGTAATGTTATTAAATGACTTTGGTGTTTATGTTAGAATTCGGTAGTGCGATATGACTTCCATACATTATGAATATTGTACTGAGATTCCTTAAACAACAATTTTAAGGAATAAAATTATGAATCTATGGAGATTTACATGTAGATGCTACATGGGATGCTAACCTGATTTCTCTTAAAAATATCTTCAGTTGCTATAAAGTTATTTTATACTTGATGCTGCTTACTAAACGCTGTAATTTAAAAATAAACATCTTTTACTTCTTCATTTGTGGATAAATATTTGAAGGTTGGCAACCCCGACGGCATAGAACGCTGTAAACAATTAGGCGGACGAGCACGCGTCGGTCGTGGGTCGCGATCCGCGTCGTTTGTGTCGGTACGCACTGAACGTAACGGGGGTGGAGTACGGGAGGTAATAGGGGCGGAGCACGGGAGGTAATGGGGGCGGAGCACGGGAGGTAATGGGGGCGGAGCACGGGAGGTAATGGGAGCGGAGCACGGGACGTAACGAGGCCAGAGCACGAGACGTAACCGCGGGACTGGTTGCAGGCGCACGAGCCCTACCTGCGGCCCAGCTTCGCCGCGCTCGAGGCCGGCGCCACGCCCAACTACGCAGACATCTCCGCCTACCTGCGCGACGGCATCGCGCTCGAGTTCGTGGACGACTACCGGCGCCACGTGTGCGCGAGCCCGCCGCCCCCCTCGCCCCCCGCGCCGCCCGCGCCCCCCGCGCCCCCCGCGCCGCCCGTGGCGGTGGCGACCCGCGTGCCGCTGCTGCGCGCGCCCCCCTCGCCCCCCGCCGTGCCGGCCGCCACGCAGACGTCGCCCCCTCGCGCCCCCGCCGGCGCCGGCCCGGCCGCGGGCGGCGTCACGCTGTCTGCGGCGGAGTGCGACACGTTCCAGCTGCTGAGCTGCGTGGACCCGGCCGCCGCGCACTGGTTCATGCTGAGCAGGCTGGGCCGCGCGCACTCCGCCTCCACGCTGGACGTGACGGCGCCCGAGTTCCGGCCGCGCTCGTCCCCCGCCCCCCCGCCGCCCCCGGTGCCCCCGTCGGCGGCGTGGGGGGCGGCGTCGCAGCCGTGGTCGTACCAGCTGTCCCCGCCGCCCGGGTTCGAGTTCCCCCACAGAAATTGACGAGCGATGTCACCGCCTCATTTGTCTATGCTCGTCCGCCTAATTATAGATTCACATCGCATCCTACGTAACGTTATGTTGTACCTTAATTATAAAAATAAATGACACTCTTAATTCCTATATTAATTGTAAATTGTTTCGTTGCTGTTTTTTGAAAAGAACGACTGTTCGCAAAACAGGAACGAAATCATTCTAAATATAAAATTGTTCAATATTTGACTATTTTCTGTTTAAGGAGTTTATTAGATCGACAGATCAGACTTTATATAACCCGCAGAGTTGGGCTTTTGTTTTTAAAATATGTTACATTTTATGTATTCATTACATTTTCTATTCTACTCTTTGTATTATAAATTTATATAAAGATCATTCCTTGAATCTCACGGAGCATCATAAAATTTTTTAATTGACTGTTTAATTTTCTTTTTATTTGTTATTGAAACTTGTCTTTTTAGTCATAGTATGTTGAAGTTTGTAATCATTGATTTCGTCAATAAAATATAAATATAAACACTGTACACGGCCACACGTCTATTTTTGTAACGACTATAATTTGTAGGAATACTCGCCGACACGGGAAACGTTAGCCACGAACTATTATAAATCTGTAATAAGAATTTCACATATTGCATTAGTAAAAAACATTACTTTTTATCCTAGTCGATCATGAAAACTAGAACAAAAATTGTATGAACGGAGACTATGTATTTCCTTTGCCATGTGGCGAGCGTCTATAAACAAATGTATTTTTATAAACTGTAATAGTTTTCTATTCTATAATTATATTGTTAGTATGTAAGAAATATTATTTGGTAAATAGTGGATTCTACGTTTATGTCGATAAAACGAGTTTATCAAAACTGTTAGTTATAAGTTACTTGTGTGTGATTTAGCTATCGATCTAGTGTAGGCCTGTACAGTAACTGATTACCTCAAACTGTTGTGACTATGATATTTGATTCTGTGATAAAAGAAGAATTAGTTGACACGAAAGATTAATAAAAAAGACAGATATATATTGAGTTTTATTTCCAAAAGTTTCTCAGACCGAATGATCGTGAATTTTGAACGTGTAATCCTAATTAGTGTCTTTTTTTTGTATTGTTTATAATACAGTAATGTTAGTTCCACTTTCATAAATAGCACTTCTTAGCGAATAATTAATGAAATTTCGACACTATCAATTTAAAAGTAAATAAAGCAGAGTTCCCACATTAGAATGCTAAAAAGAAAGGTATGTAGTACAAATATGAAAAGTAAAATTAAATCTCGCGGGGTTTCTGTTACAACTACAACAACTTATTTAAAAGAGTGCGCCATTTATTACCACGTAATTTTTTTAATAATGCTTTATTCATGACCTTGGATACAAGTCCTTCAGTCGAATACATTTTTATAATGAATTGAATACATAACATAAAAATTAAAACATAAGGAATAAACTATTATATGAGCTTAGACAGTACAATTTTACAATTTCAGTAATAATTCATTAATATACGAGTATGATGTTTCCGTATTTAATTTTGAATTCGTCACTTAATATGTAATTAAGTGACGAATTCAATAGTACTCATTAATTCTTTAATAGTAGTTTATATTAAGATGTTCTGTTATATACAAGCTTCTAATATTGTAATTTAGCATTTAGCATTTTTTAAAAGATCAATTTAGCACTTTCTGGTTAAGGTCATTTATTTAGAACAATTATGAATTTTTATCTTGTAACACTGTTACACAGGCATAAAAAAAATATGATAACAAACATGGCGTGATAGAAGCGTCTTCGTATAATTTGTTTATTAGGTCAACGTATCTTTATAAGATATTCGTCTTGGCGGATTATGTCGTCACATACCAGAGGGCGAAATCTCCATGTTAACGTACGGAAAAGGTAACGTTCCGTAAAATAGTGTTATAGTTTGATGATGGGAAAGCTTACCCTCTTGGTACTGGATGTGATGTGGTGATGACAGGAGGTGCCGGGGCGAAGGCGCTCGGCGGTAGACCAGTGTGCGGGTGATATGCAAGCGGCGCCGGCGCGCTACGTGTCAGTGAGCGAGCTGTATTCGACCGACGAGGTGGAGCTGCTTTTAGACGAGATTCGCGAACTGGAGCCCACCAGCTGCCGCGGCGAAGACGTGCAGGTGAGACGACCATGCTCTTCTTATATATATGTGGAATGGTGTAAAAAAATCGCCTTTAACATACATGTCGGCGGAGCACCACAGGAAGATCATAGAATAAGCATGTAGTCAGTTTTACATGATATATTTGATATATTGCTAGCCTATTTAATTTCACTAACAACCCCCTTTTAACCAGGAAAGGTGTTTAACTAATAGAGAAATTCAGCTTCTCCACAAAACTATGCAACACTCAACTGTTACAATATTGCTATGGTCCTTACAAGTTTGTTGAATTGCAATGAGAAATATTCTTATTTTGTAACTGCTATTTACTATACTAGCTCGCCCTCACGGTTTCACCTGCATTAAATTTATAGCATATATGTTATTCTGATGCATAAACTATTTTACTGTAAAGTTTCATCAAGGTCCGTTAGTAGTTTTTGCATTTAGTGTTTGTGTGAAGGAGTAACAAACATCCATCCATACTCACAATGTTTTGCATTTATAATAATACTGGCTACCCACCCCGGCTTTGCACGGGTGTACATGTATTATATATATAAACCTTTCCCTTGAATCACTATGTATTAAAAAAACCTCATGAAAATCTGTTGTGTAGTTTAAAGATATAAGTATACATAGGGACAAAAGCGACTGAAACTTTGTTTTATACTATGTAATTATATGATTAATTTACAAGCAACTACTTTTATAATATCCCTCAAAAATTTGAATAGTGTCATGTAGTCCCATGATAAGCAGAGCTAGTGTTATGTGTATTAAATTATCGATATAAATACTTAGATTTTATAAATATATATATAATATATATAGGAAACACCCAGACCAATATATACAATTATAAACATGAATACAAATGTGTGTACTATGTGAGGAATCAAACTCATGATCATGTGAAATAAAGCAGTGCACTAAACCTTTTGACAACTGAGGCTGTCATATTTGAATGGCAGCTGAAGAAAAACACAAGTGAAAGAAGGAAAGTACTGATCTAATAAGGGTTTAAGTGTAAGACTGATGATCTTTGTTTTGATATGAACTTGCAGTTTGCATGTGTATATGAGAACAAAATAGATAGGTTTTTTTTTTATTAATCTCGGGACAATTCACACAGCATCATCTTGACCCAAGTTAAGCTAGCTAAAGCTTGTGTTATAGGTACTAGATAACTGATACATAGTTTTTTTTTTGTAAATACATACATATTATACATAGAAAACATCCAGACCGATACAAACAATCATACTCATGAATACAAATGTTTGTGCTGTGCGATTAATTTAACCCGCAACCATCGGTCATAAAGCGGTGTGCTAGATTACTAGACCACCGAGGTCATCATACTTGTTAACATTTGTATTGAGCATAGAATTTTATAAATGCTTTGATAAGTTGAATGGTTTAAGAACACATTACTAGGGTGGACATGTTCCATTAAAAAAATTAGAATGATAAAGTGTTCTTGAGATTTGTTTTAACTTGAGTGGTATTACTTGGGATTTTCAGCACGGCTCATATATTCCCACTTATTATCGTAGTCCTGATGAAATATTATTGGTTGATGAATTATACACACATAACTTTAGCCAATTTAATGGAGTATTAAATAAAACAGGAAAAATCTTAGATTTGGTATTATCAAGTATGACAATTCAAGTGTCCGATTGCACGGACCCGCTTGTTCCAATTGATCCGTATCATAATGCTCTCGTGTTGACTGTTCCCACGATTACGTTAACACCTTTGAAATCAGACAGTAGAATTAAATATTTTTTCAATAAGGGTGACTATGATAAAATAAATGCGCATATCGCCGGTATAAGCTGGTCTAGTGAATTCTCTTCACGCTCACTAGAGGATGCGGTTGATTTCTTTTATTCAACTTACATTGAATTGCGTGACCAATATATACCTTCTAAACGTATTTCTAAGGGATCCAATCCAATATGGTATTCACCCTCACTTATTAAAGTCATTAAAGAAAAACAAAAATATTATAGGAAGTTCAAAAACTACGGAAATCTCTCTGACTTACATACATTTCGGTTGCTGTGCACACGTGTTAAATTATTATTAAAAGACTGTCATCAAAAATATTTAAACTCTGTTGAAAACTCAATACAGAATAATCCACGGTACTTCTGGAGCTATATGAAATCGCGCACTTCAACCAATTTAATTCCTAGTTGTATGAATTATAATGATGCGGTCCATAATACAGGTAATGATATTTGTAACGCTTTCTCGTCATACTTTCAATCTACTTTTTTACAAAACGGTTCTTCCAGTAATCATGTTCCAATTTCTTATACTGACAATATAGATTCTGTTTCCGACATTGCTAATATTGTAGTGGTCCCCTCGATGATTGATAAACTGCTCTCTGGTCTCGATATATATAAATCGGCTGGCCCAGATTATATGTCAGCATATTTTTTAAAAGCTTGTTCTAAAAATTTATCCATTCCCATTTGTTTATTATTCCAACGTTCTCTGGCCGATGGAATAGTCCCAAAAATTTGGAAATCTGCCTTTATAACCCCTGTTCACAAAAAAGGCCCAAAGAATAGAGTTGAAAATTATAGGCCTATTTCTAAATTATGTCACATAGCTAAAATATTTGAAAGATTAATATATAATCAACTCTATCCAGCGGTAAAAAATTCCCTACATCACTTTCAACACGGGTTTATCAGTGGACGGTCTACAGTGTCTAATCTTGTTCTATTTAATGACTATTTGACAGAAGCCATGGATGATGGACACCAAGTAGACGTTATTTATACAGATTATAGTAAAGCATTCGATCGCATTGATCATTGTTTGCTTTTATCTAAGCTTCAGTATGTAGGAATTAGGGGCGATCTTCTTAGATGGTTCTCGTCATACATTGATAATCGTTCTCAAGCTGTTGTAGTCAATAATTATGTTTCAAGCTGGGTTTCTATCCCCAGCGGCATTCCTCAGGGTTCATTATTGGGTCCTTTATTATTTATTATTTTCGTCAATGACATCAGTAAATGCTTTCATTTCTCTAAACTCCTGTGTTTTGCTGATGACATGAAAATTTTTTCTAAAATATCAAATCTATCTGATAATGCAGCTATTCAGTCTGACTTACATAGACTAGACAACTACTGCGTCACTAACAAGTTAGATTTGAACCCTTCGAAGTGTTTTTCGGTTATATTTACACGCAAACTTAACTCTATTCATAATAATTATTTGCTTAAGGGTCAACAGCTAAAAAAAGTATCGCAGATAAATGATTTAGGAATAACACTCGATTCTAAATTAATATTCGACACACATATTAACAATATTGTTAATAATGCAATGCGCGCCCTGGGATTTGTTATGCGTAACTCCAGCTGCTTCGTACAAGCTAAAACTTTAAAAATACTTTACTGTACACTGGTGCGCAGTAAGTTGGAGTATGCATCTCAGATTTGGAACCCCAGATATGATACGTACATTGCACGTATCGAAAATGTGCAGAAAAAATTTGTCCGTTTTCTTGCCTACCGTATCAAACAGCAATATGACTCTAAACATTATATTAGTATGTGTAAAAAACACCACTTACTTACCCTTGAGAAACGCCGTGAAATTGCTGATATCATTTACTTGATCAAAGTAGCCTCTGGTGACATAGACTGTCCTGAGTTACTTTCAAAATTTAATTTTAATGTACTAGCTAAACGTACCAGATTTACTCCTTCTATTTCTATACCTTCTGTATCATCTAACTATAGGCAAAACAGTTATATGTGGCGAGCAAGTAATAACTTCAATAGGTTAAGTAGGGTGTTAGATATTGATTTGTTTTCCGATGGAATATCTTTAGCGAGGGCCGTGATGAGCAGGCAATTCTTTGAGTTATAGGTATTGAATTTAATGTTACTTATATGCATTTCCATTATTCAAAAATGTTTGTTTGTTAATTTCAGCATATGTTTTAATTTAGTGGATTGTTATTGTTTGATATATGATTTTATGAGTATTTATAACACAAACACGCCTCTCGTGTTAGCACTGTAATTTTTTTTTTCTATATTACGTTTCTATCCGTGGAAACCTATAAGTGGCCGTTATCATTTAATTATGTTTATAACTATGTTTGTAAATAGCCTTGGTTTTCCGAAAATAAATAAATAAATAAAATAAATAAATTTGTTTCAATATTTTCAGTTCAAGGTTTTGGTTAATTTAATTTTATAGCTATTCTGGAACTCAATACCTTTTTCTTTGTCTAAAATGCAACACTGTTATGTATATATATTTTTTAATTTAATTAAATAGTTATTCACATTAAACCTTTTTGCAATATTATCCTATATTCTGTTGAGTTGTTAAATTGTAAAGGACCCTAAACAATGGGATAAAGGCAAGGCAATGATGAATCAAAATGAATGAGCAATTAAAGCCCCATATTGTTTTAAAAAATATATTGTTGGTTCTAATAGCTACTGCCAACTGGAACTTTGAGTCGGTTTCCTGAATTAAGTATTTACAAAACATGTATTGAAAAATAATTTTGCAAGTATTTTTAAATACAATAAATGTAGAATATGCATGACTTGAATTTAAAGATTACATAAACTTAAATATATAAGTTTATGTAATCTTTAAATAACAATAGTAATAAGTAAAGATTTTTTTCATATTGTGTATAGCTGAATCGTCCATGTAGAAACTTGTCTGTTGATCATTCTTTAACATAATGTCTGCTATACTCGACATCGTCATTTCATACTGGAACTGTTCCTATGGGTAGTTTACTAACGAGGGGTGTGTGTGTGGTCGCAGGACTTCGAGATCGCGGGCAGCGGGTGCGGCGCGGCGGCCGGGGGCGGGGCCGGGGGCGGGGGCGGGGGGCGGTCGCCGGCCGGCACGGAGGCCACGGAGGCCACGGAGCGGTCCTGGGACTCGCACGCGCACTACCGCCGCCAGCCGCCGCCGCGCCCGCGCCCGCTCGCGCCGCTCTACTGCCGCCTGCGACACCTGCGCTCGCTGCGCGGCGCCTGCACGCTGCTGCTGGTGGTGAGTACCGGCCGCGGCCCGCACGGAGGCCACGGAGGCCACGCAGGCCACGGACCGCGAATGATAGGATGTTGATCCCGATGAAGTTAGACCAGGTAGGTTATTGTTAGAAGTTCACCAAGAATTAACCGTTGAGGTGAGGATTTTTAAGGGAATGATGAATGGTTAGCACGGGCTACTATTCCATACACACAGTTGACGTTCTCGCTGCTCGTACCGATCGATTTACATCATCTTTTCTTATGTGATCAAATAAAAATAGTACTCACTCTCTCACTCCCGATGTCCGTGTTTAAAGTCTCTTACAAAATTGCATCTTTGAAGTGAAGAGTGAATAAGTAGTGTTAGAAGTAGGTGTACTAGGTCAGGCGTTATCATCGGCAGGCGTGCTGCGCGGGCTCGTGCGGGTGCGTGTGGGGCGCGGCGGGGCTGCGGGCGGCGCAGCTGCCGCTGGCGGCGCGCGTGCAGCTGCTGCAGCTGGCGGCGCTGTCGTCGCTGCTGCTGCACGGCGTGCTGCTGGCCATGCACGTGTCGGGGCTGCAGGCGCTGCTGCCGCTGGACTGGGCGCGGCTGGGCGCGTGGACCAGCGCCTGCAGCGGCGCGGCGCTGGCCGCCGGCGCCGCGCTCGTGCTGCACGCCGTGCTGGCCGCGCCCGAGTACCGCTGGGCGCCCGCGCACCTCGCGAGGTTGCTGCTCTCCGCCTCCGTGAGTCATACGTTTTATTATTCCTTGACGGCCTCGACCGTCTAACCGTTTGGTCCACCGCATTACTTTCAATCTGCCGCGACTCGTAATCAAATCGTTTGTATCGGTCTGGGTATTTTCTATGTATTTATAGAAAAAATATATTGAAGTATTTATATCGGTTCTCTAGTACCTATAACATTAGCTCTACTTAGCTCGAGACTCGATGACGCCGTGTGAATTGTCCAGGATTTTTTTTTATTGATTTCGCTCGTGAATCGTAGTCTAAGATATACATCAATACATACCGCCGCACTCAGAGACGTTTAATGATTACTTTAAAGATTTCAGTTAATGATTGATTAGTAATAGTATTGCTTTTATACGACACGTTCTTTCATACGCGATCTAGAGCTCAATCAAAGTGATATTAACCTGCTCGCTAGGCCTAACTGATTGATTGCATTTTACTATTTTTGTACGGTTTGTGTTAATTAACTTTATTTTTATTTTAAGACATGTTTAATATTTATAAATTGTCCATAACTATGTCTTTACTCCATAATCGGATGTTAACATTTTTGCAATGATATTTAATTATTACAAAAAATTGGACGCCGCAATGCGCGAACCGGTGGCGCGCGGTCACTCTCGTTCTCTTAGTGTACATTTACATGTTAATTTTTAAGCATATTCGCACGTGAATGAGCTCGTCCGTGTAAAGGCAGCTAATGTACGGCACGTCTCCGAGTGCGGGCGGGAGAGCAGCAGCTATCGCACAGACTACGTGCGAGTGAGATGAGAGTGGTGTGCGTCCGCAGGGCCTGGGGCTGGGCGGCGCGTGCGCGTCGGGCGCGCTGGTGGCTGCGGGCGCGCGCGCCATGTGCGGCGCCCGGCCGCGGGGGGCGTGGGGGGCGGGGGGCGCGCGGGGGGCGAGGGGGTCGCGGGGGTCGCGGGCGTCGCCGTCGCCGCGCGCCTCGTACCGCGCCGTGCCGCCGGCGCCCGCGCCGCTGCCGTCCACGTCGCGCGACGACCCGTTATAGTGGCCCCCGCCGCCCCCGCCGCCCCCCGCCGCCCCCGCCGCCCCCGCAGGCCCCCGTCGCCGCGTTCCCATACTGTGATCTCTCGTTCGACGCGTGACGTGTCGCCTGTCCGAGTGCGAGGTCGAGTCCGATGCGCCGTGAGTACGAGTGAACGATCGAGATGTGAGTGGTTGTACGAAATAGTCGCTCGCTCCGAAGCCTGACGGTACGGGGTTACCGATGTCTATGATGTCTAAGCGAGTCTATTTCGGAGAGCGCTATGACCAAATTGTTAATATTGTGAAAGCTGACCGTTAACGCAATCGTATTGAAATTGAAGCGAAATCACACGTAGTAGATCACATCTATTATATTTACTCTTCCAAGTATTTTATTTGTTTATCTATATATTTTCAACTAATGCACCTCACACTCGTTTCGAATCGATTATGTGGAGAGTATTCACGTTTGGATTTCGTTTTGATTGCGTCAATGATTGGCTTGTCGATATCGTTCATTATATGGACTTGTAGCCAGTAAATAACATTCTATGTAGAATGAGATATGTTCTGTAGTCTCCGCTCGCGCGGTGCGGGAAGCGTCGTGAGTTTGCGACGTAACGTTACGCGAGTCTGATCTTGATGCTAGTCCTTTTTATTAGATTTAATAAACGTTCGTTCGTATATTTAATTCCGCGCAATTTCTCGAATAGTTCGTTGCACGTGCAGCCGCCGGTGCGCGTCCGTTCGTTTGTTTCTCTGTCCCGTTTTCCTATTCGTCCAATTTGTATAAGTTTCAGGAATATTTACACACTATTAGATATTTACTATTGAAATGTATATTATACAAATGTCAAGGGTACGTTTCTACGTTAGACGAATATAATGGTGTTAAGTAATAACTGTTGTCTAGGGATGGACTCGAAGGCGTGGCGCTAGTGCACACGAGCCGCGCTGTCTATATCTACTATATGCACGTAGTAACGCGATATCCGTAAATTATGGCACATGATCATGATCTTCAAGCCTGGGGAACCAGGAGAATCGTAGGACAGATCGTCGTGGAGATCTTTGGGGGAGACTTTCGTTCAGCAGTGGACGTCTTCCGCGCTGAAATGACACCCTTCCCCAGTTTTAACACCAGCTGTGTTCACGTTGTGAATCTCTCCTAGTGTAGAGGCACAATTTGATTTCACAATAATACAAATTAAACATGTTTTTATACCGCTGAATTAGAACTTTAGATTTTCGTTAAGAGTTAAAATTTCGTATTTTAATACATATTAGAAATAGAAATAATCTTTATTCAAATAAACTCCGAACAAGCACCTTTGAATAGTCATATTTTTGATTATACTATTCATTCGGAATGCAAACTCATCACAAGAAGAATAAGTAAGAAACTTGTGTGTTACTCTTTTGAATAGATGCTTTTTTTATATATACTATAAGATACTAACAAGTAAGAGACATGCGACAATCAATATAGAAATCGCTACGTACTCATTCTTAGTGCAATCAGATAATATTGTCAGCGCTTTTATTTTATTTTATTAGGTGATGAAATGTTACATCACGATTTTTAGGACCCCTTCCCACTTCTTTCATCCCTTACGTTCAACCCGCGTTCTTAAATTGTGTCATGATTTACGTCCCGTAAGTGCGTGCCGGACGCTCCCGTGACGTCACAGTGCGTCGCCGCTCACGTGCGCGTCGCCACGTGCTCGTAGTCCGAGTTAATTTCGACGTGACGCTTGTAATGGATCAAATTGTTTGCATGATATATATAATGATGTTCATAAGCGAAATATAGGTAGTAAGTAAAGTTCGATTGTAATAAGAATTGTTATAGGAGATAATTTTATACTGTCTGGTCTGTCGTACACGCTCCCCGAGCTTAGAACTTGGTACAGTTGTTCATGTTCACCGCGGACCGTGTGGACTATACTCATTCCAATATTTATTCGCATTTATTGCACTATATATACAGCTTGTCTACTTGTATTGATATTATTGTATAACTTTAACACATTTCTTTTATTATTGTACACACCATACATATCACAATGAAATAATATATTAATTTTTGTTTTGTATAATTTATTCTCGGCGGATTATGTTTGTAAGTTTACCTGTGTTGGCGAGGGTGTTCAGTTGAGTTGCGTGCGATTTGGATTGCTTTGTGTGTTATTTATATTGTAAGTGAGGATCGTATTATGTTCATGTTCAGGAGGACAATGTAAGTTACCATAAGTGACCGTGTACGGTGAGTCATTTTTACTTTAAAATTTTAATAATAATATATGGTTTTATACAAGTATGTTGTTTTTATATCACCGTGCCATAGGCCGCGGGCGATCGACTGATATACTTTATCGGCGTTATCAGAAATCAGTACATCTTAGAGATATACTATCAAGATTGAAAATTCTTAATTGTTTATTGGTAGATAACAGCAAACAGCAGTCACAATTAGGATTTGAGTTGCAGGCGATTTGTTGAATACGTTATTCTTTAACTTGCCTGACTTATTCAAGCGGGGCGGATCTACCTAAGGGCTTTTGGGCTGCAGCTCAGGGCCCCGATTATACAAAGGGCTCCTAGTCCCCATTGAAACAATATTTAGAATATAAAAAAATATATAGTGTTAAAAACCCATCATAACCCATGCAAGTGCGAGACTATTGAAAGCAACGGGGAATTTCTGGTCGCTTGTCTATGGTCGGTGTATTTTTTTAGTTGAATAATATCATTAGGTAGGCCCCTAAGTAGATTTAGTCCAGGGCCCCGGACAAGTTCACGATCCGCCCCTGTGTTCAAGGTAAACATTTCCATGACAATACAAAGTATTTACAATAGAAATAGAAATTATCTTTATTCAAATAAACTTAAGTCGCAGGTTCGATTCCGCGCACAATGTTAACAATTGTATTTGTATATTATGTATGTATCTAAAAAAATAAATTTAAGTATTACTACGACTGATTTAATCTTATTGCATATTTATATTTGACCCAAAAAATTTGTGCTGGTTGGTAGTTTGTATTCACACGTTTCGACTTGTAAATGTAAACTTACAAGGATTACTTAAAAGAGCAACACACAAGTTTCCTGCTCGTTCTTGTTATGATGAGACAGCTTTCCGAACGAGCGGTAGATAAAAAAATTGTTATGACTATTCAAAAGAGCTTAAATTAAGTTTATTTGAATAAATGATTTTCTATTCTATTCTATTTTACTATCAGTTGCATAGTACAACATAGGCTCTGCCTAGCTTATGACTCGATGGCTATTTAGATAACATAAATATAATAACGTAATATCTAATATTTTTAATATTCGTCAGCACAGATTATATCAATTTATATATTAAAAAGATAATATCAAATTATTTGACATATAGGTGGCAGAATAATAGTCTATTTACAGGCTTGGAGTGGATAGAATTTTATCATGATATCTTAATGAATATCGAATTAATGTTTATTTTTAAAAACTATAATGATTGTACAGTCTGCTAAAAAGTGGAAAGCTATATGTTTATACAGAGACAATTATTTTATACCGATTTGTAAAAAAATATGTGTATCGAGTGTACTTGTAAACACAAGTGAGGATGGGTGGCCGCGCGGAACCAGCGCTTCCCGTTGACGATCTGTCTAAATCTGAGAAGGACGTACTTCGGGATTACTACAGTGCCAGCAATTACGTGGTCTCGCCTGGTGGACTGCTGAAAGTTGCTTCTGTTGTAAGTATTATATTGTAAAAAAAATACAAAGTAAAAAAAAAATACGAGCTGAGTTTCTTGTCAGTTCTTCTCATCTCGAAATCATTCCGAACTGACGATAGATTTGACATATCATAACAGTCTGTAATAGACCTACATGAATATATTTTGAATTTTGAATTAGAATTTACAGCTAAATTATCTCCGTTATGACTCAACAAATTTGACGACCTCGGTGGTCTAGCGGTCCAGCACACCGCTTTACGTCCGATGGTCGCGGGTTCGATTCCTCGCACGGCACAAACATTTGTATTCATGAGTATGACTGTTTGTATCGGTCTGGGTGTTTTCTATGTATATTATGTATGTATTTACGAAAAAAAAATATCTATGTACTTGTATCAGTTATCTAGTACCCGTAACTATAGCTTAACTCGGGTCTAGATGGCGCTGTGTGAATTGTCCTGAGATTATTATTATTAATATTATAATTATATGTATTGTATTGTAATGTATGTTGGACTCCAGTCTCCGCAATTAGCCTCTCATTCGGGCCGTTGTGCGTGCAGAGCCGGACTACTAAAGTAGCCAGCCAAGCTCCTCCCAAAAGCGCAGAAGTCTGGTATCTTCACAGGCTTCACGGAGCGACCTCACCGTTCCGAGGATTTGTTTTCGTTGTGTGGCCACTGCAAGCACTCCAGCATTACGTGAGCGGCCGTTTCTTCGGTTATAGAAAAGTGTAATTAAAATATAGGAATGATTGGATGGTCCGTTAGTTAGCGGTAACTCTCGCCTATATACATGAACAGCATCGGACATCACGTTATCATGTGACAACCGTGATACCACTCATGTTATCATTCCATAGGACTATGTGTGTGTACACACTCACTATTTAGTTAGTAGTTATACAACTACTGACTAAATAGTGAGTGTAGTACAGTTCTCGGAGAGAGGGAAATACCTAAAGCATCACAATCTAAAATGAGTAGAGTGAACAATATATATATGAGTCTGTGACCCATACAATCTGGATGCTATGATGTATAAATGATAAGTCTGGGCTGTTTTCCAAATTGATATATTGAATACACGCTGATCGAGTGTGGACTGGATGCTTGCTTGTGAGTATTTGGTGTATTGAAGGAAAAATGGTATGTCTGGGCGTTATATGAACGCGGAGAGGTGTAAAATGCTGACGGCTGTACGGTGACGCACCGATTTTGATGATTATTACACTCACATGATTAAGCTGAAGTATCTACTACGATTATTCCTTTGTATTTATGAATATTGGTATAATATTCAGTTACGGATCTTGATGATATAGTCGTAGCGTCTGAACGTACGCTGGTTCTAACAATAGTGTAGCACCAAGAATGAATGTGGATTGTTGTACCAATGCTGGTGCAATGTTTAATTGGAATATTTTTTATGCCGCATTCTCTGAATTTGTATCTGATATTGCTTAACGAATGTCACAAAGTGATGACTGTAGATTTGCAACGATTTGTACGGAAAAGAGGAAATTGTTTGGATTTTACGATACATAGATCACTGTATTTAAGGAGGTATAGAATATATGTTTAATTACTGTGTAATAGATATTAACACTAAATTGTACCTGCTACTTTTTCAAACTTTGATTTTGACAAAAGCATCAACGTGCCAATTCATAAAAAAAAAATATATTTGTTTTTTAAATTTAGTACACTGGCAAATATACAGGAGTGCCATGCCAGTGCCAAAAATACATTATGACATTGGTGGCATCTCTAAAATGTTAAAGGAATGGCAATACTTGAAGACTAAAAGATTGGTATCCAAGGTCGTTAATAAATTATTCAGAAAAAGCGAATGCATTAATGCTATATTTAATTCTTCTAAACGGAACACAGCTTCCAAATTAGGCCATACAGGATCTTATGCAGAAGTAGTTAATATTGATCGATTTCTGGTAGTGTCGTGTAGTCGTGTCAGGATGCAGCGTGGTGTTAAAGTCCTCGTGGCGGCAGGTGACGGCAGCAGTGGCGACAGCCCTGTTGTTGAACAGCCGGGGCTGCGACGCAGCGCCCGGGCTGGCGGCCAGTGCAGCCAGCGTGGCGCTGGCGGCGGCCGCGCTGTCAGTGCTTCTCTACAGCGGCGCCCTGCTGCGACTGCCGTTGCGAGCGCCTCAACTCTGGCTCTACATTGTCAGTACTCCTCACCATAACATTCATAAGTTGCTTCCAAATCCGGCTCGAAGGACCAAAGATTGTGAGGGTTTTAGCCCATACTTCCGTGGTTATGATAATAAAAAAATATATCACCCTGGACAATTAACACAGCGCCATCTGGTACCACGATAAGCAGAGCTAGTGTTATGGGTACTAGACAACTGATATAAATATACATGGGATACATTTTTTTTGTAAATAAATACATATCCAGACCGATACAAACAATCATATTCATAAATACAAATGTTTGTACCGTGCGAGAAATCGAACCCGCGACCATCGGATAGTAAAGCGGTATGCTAAACCACTATGCCACCGAGGCTGTTGTATATGAGTGTGTGTTTCCAGGATATAATATTATCGACTGTGCTCGGCGTGCTGTTACTGGTGTCGGCCATAATGAGCTTGACGACGTGCGAGCTGACCCGGCCCGTCGACTACATGCACGGAGTGAGTTTGTAATTACTGTAGTGATATTGAATTTAACACTGTTATTTCGGAAAGCCAGTTACTGGCGTAGTGTATTTTATAAATTGTATCAACATATATATATATATATATAGTATAGTATAGCCCTAGTTTGGTAGCTATAGCCCTAATGTAGAAATAAGTAATCGTTCAGGGCAATTCATACGGTCCTATCTCGTCCCAAGCTAAACAGAGCTTAATAGACAGCTCATGGAATAAATAAATACATTTATTTTTGTAAAAACACAGATGAACACAAACAATCATGCTCATTAATACACAAGCATGCAGAACACTCAGGAAACTGAACAGCTTTTCCAAGAAAAAAACCTCAATAAACTTTTTGATCTAAATTGAGTAAGTGACCACGTTGTTTATTTACACTCAGAGGACGGTCATAAAAAAAAATCCTACGCAATAAGTGCCGCAGGGTTATAATAGCTCGTGCTTCGGACTGCGTGTTCATGACCAAGTTACAAAACTCAAGTTTGTCTTTGTGTAGATACCAACGGCGGATCCAGGGGGGTCATGGGGGTCATGACCCCCCCCCCTGAGCTGGTTCCAGGACTTAGGTGGACCACTAATTGAACATAATGATTTCATTTATATATTTTGACACCATACAGATTTTAAGTAACTACTTACCTTCAATATTTAATTAATTTAATATAATAACTTTGTACATTATTAAAGTACCAACTTTTTACTTGTATCTATTGTTATCAGAATTAAATTATAAGTTCTTGACTTGACCACGACTCTGTGACCCCCTCCTGGCGCCAAAGCTGGATCTGCCCTTGGTAGATACAGGTGTTAATTTTTTTATAGCCGCTGACCATCGTGAGTGCCGGCATGCTGGTGGGCAGCGCAGCAGTCACGTACGGCGCAGTGTCGAGCCGCCAGCACGGGTTGCAGTCCCGGCGCGAGCCGCCGCGGGCTGACGTCCGCGAGCATGACGCGTGACGGGCGGCGTTACGTTTAGCGTAAATCATAGACAATTATTTAGTAATTTAGTTGCTGGACTGCATTCTTGGACATTTGTATACATCATTATTTTAGTATCATGTTTTTGTCTAGCTTAACTTATGTTGCCTAACTTACTTATTTAAACAAAATACCTACCTCATGTAATAATTATAATAAAGTAAGAAACGAAGAAGTACTACACAGGGTAAAAGAAAAAAGGTAAATATTTAACACAATAGAAAATCGACGAGGAAAAATGTTGGGATACTTAATACGGCACGATGATTTCATGAATATTATTATTGAGGGGAAAATAGAGGGAAAGAGGAGGAGGGGAAGATCAAGGCACAGCTACATCAAACAAATTAAGAAGAAAATGGGAGTTGTGACGTATCAATAATTAAAGAGCATGATGGATGACCGCGGAAAATGGGAAGAGCTCCACCGACAAGAGCGTAGCTCTTAAATTATGAATGAATGAAATAATTATAATATTAATACATAATGTACATAATTATTATTTGCACAATTTGACCCACTCAACACTTCCTATGCCACGCTGTATTGGGTTGACTGGAAGAGATCTCTTTTAGAGATAAGTCCTCCTTTGTTAACGTTAGTTCTAATTAATATACTTATAAAATGTATTTCAGTGCAATAAAGAATATATAATAATTAATTTAGTTATTTTTAGATAATATAAGATACTTAAAAAAAACAATCAAAAGAGGAATAAAAACAAAATAAAAAAATAATCGGTCCCCACGTAAGGCACAACGCGTAGTAAGGTTTACGTAGTTTTTCTTATGTATAGATGCCCTAGGGGCTATGATCTAGCCACCCGGGGGTTGCTGCCCCGGAGTAGATGCCCCAACCTTCACCTCTCTGAGGGGGTTTGATTTGGTCTTGATGTTTAGGAGATCTGCCAGCACATAATTAGCAGAATAACTACTTCTACTCTGCGCAGGAAAATAATAGAATCAATAGAATAGAATAGAATAGAAAATCATTTATTCAAATAAACTTAATTTAAGCACTTTTGAATAGTCATAACAATTTGTTTTTTATCTACCACTGAAAGCTGTCTCATCACAAGAAGAACGAGCAAGAAACTTGTGTGTTGCTCTTTTAAATAATCCTTGTAAGTTTACATTTACAAGTCGAAACGTGTGAATACAAACTACCAACAAGCACTAATTTTTGGGTCAAATATAAATATGCAATAAGATTAAATCAGTCGTAGTGATAAGAGCAGACCAGTCCCTACAAGCAGCACTCGTTCACGAGTATGACGGATGAGCCAGCCATCACTGCGCTCGACCATATTTTAGGGAGCCCATTGACCCGGCCCACCACGCCGCCACATGTCTGGACATTTTAGTGAGCATGACTACTCATTCCACACGACCACGTCACAGCTATAAAAATTACTATATGGTAGTTACAGTATTCGCACTTTACATAAGGATGCATGCGGCAATCAATACAAAAGCCGCTACGCTATCATATATCAAGAAAGCAGTATGAAAATTAAAATTATAACGTTGTCCGCAAATAAACTTATTCTTGCTATATATTGCTATCATCTATAAATTCATCTATCTTATAATAAGGCTTTTTTACATAACATTTGTTTAATATAAGATTTGAATTGCCTCTCTGTAAGATTTAGCGTAGACTCTGGCAGTTTATTATAGAATCTTACGCAATTACCATAAAATGAATTACTAACTTTGTGTAGACGGCATTTAGGTAAAATTAGCTTATTTTTATTGCGTAAGTTTCTACTTGTACAGTCTTTAAGTTTCTTGAAACTATCTAAGTTTTTCCTTGTATACATAATATTTTCATAAATGTACTGTGAGGCAACGGTGAGGATATTTGATTGTTTAAAGCATTGACGTAATGACTCTCTAGAACCCATACCATAAATAGAACGTATGGCTCTCTTTTGTAAAATAAATATAGTATTTATATCGGCAGCTTTACCCCATAGCAGTATGCCATATGACATAATGCTATGGAAATAACTAAAATATACAAGTTTTGCCGTCGCCACGTCTGTTAATTGCCTTATCCTTCTAATTGCATAAGCAGCAGAACTAAGTCTACTGGCTAATTTTGAAATATGGGGCCCCCATTGTAACTTCGAGTCCACTGTTATTCCTAAAAAAACTGTATCATTAACAAAATTTACTATTTCATCATTAAGCAATAGCTGCGTATTTACTTGTTTTACATTAGGCAGCGTGAATTTAATGCACTTAGTTTTGTTGGAGTTCAATAATAGATTATTACATGTGAACCAATTTAGTATAGCAGAGATAGCATAATTTACATCGTCTAATTGATTACATTGGCGACCAATTTTAAACACTAACGAAGTATCATCCGCAAATAACACTATATCTGCAACTTTCTCTACCATGTAGGGAAGGTCATTTATATAAATTAAAAAGAGAAACGGGCCTAATATTGAACCTTGAGGAACGCCCATTTTTATATTAGTTCCCTTAGACTTTACACCATCAATATCTACAGTTTGCACCCTATCCTCTAGATAAGTTTTCATTAGACTTAGGTCATTATCTCTAATACCATAATGTTTGAGCTTGTACAAAAGTGTTTCATGATCTACGCAATCAAACGCCTTCGACAAGTCACAAAAAACGCCGAGAGCATCCTGTGAGTTTTCCCATGATTCGAATATATGTGTAATAAGCGCTACGCCTGCATCAGTAGTAGACTTGCCGGCAGTGAAACCATATTGCTGACTGTGAAGCAGTCCGTTATCCCTGAAGTATTTTAACATTTGGTTAAACATAATCTTTTCAAATACTTTACTTAGAACTGGCAAAATAGAAATTGGTCTATAGTTGCCTAGCTCAAATCTATCTCCAGATTTAAAGAGTGGAATTAATTTGCTAAATTTCATTAATTGAGGAAACACGCCATTATCAACACATTTATTGAAAATAGTAGCTAGATAAGGAGCAACAATATCTATGAATGTACTAACTACTTTAACTGACATGTCCCAGAGATCTTCCGTATTTTTTAAATTTAACTGTTTGAATATTTTTATGACATGAAAAGGGCTGACATGTGAAAATTTAAATGTTAAAGAGCAAGGGCTGACATTAGCCTCCAGTAATGTTTTTGCTCGAATTGGAGATGAGTCTAGAGAAGATGTAATATCAATCGGAATATTAGCAAAAAAATCTTGAAAAATATGAACTATATCTTTTGTTGCTGTTATTAACTTATTGTCATAATTTAATGAGAATTGATTGCAGGCTTTTTCAGACCGTCCAGTTTCTTTGTTTATAATTCCCCAGATGGTCTTAATTTTGTCAGAGGACTGATTAATTTGTTTATTTATAAAATTAGATTTAGCTGCAATACAAACTTGTTTGAAAATTTTAGAGTAATTTCTCACATAAGTTGTAAATTTGTCATCAAATCTATATTTTTTTTGATCATATAAATCAAATAAAATGTTTCTACTTTTAAGTATTCCTACTGTTGCCCATTCTGTAAATTTAGATTTAACACAATATTCTCTTTTCTTGAAAATATTCTGGTATTCTTTTGACAAAAGACTAATTAACTTGGTGTAAAGAATATCAGGATTATTAAGACTGACAGATTGTAACTCTAAGTCTAACTTATATTTAACCGTGCTTTTGTATTTATTAATATTGTAAGCATTTATTTGTCTTTTTGATCTTTTATTATTGGTATTTTTTTTAGTCTGATTACTAAACTTAACAACTTGACCACAGTGATCCGAAGGAAGTTTATTTATTATTAATTTTTCAATATACTCACAGTTACAAAAAACATTGTCAAGACAAGTAGCAGTCGTAGCGGTTACACGAGTGGGTTCCTGAAAGACATTACTCAAATTAAAAGACTGAAATAAACTAATAATTTTTGTACATGTGGGTGTATCACAAAGAATATCAACGTTAAAATCACCACACACAATGATTTTTTTACTGCTATTAAATACTTTTTTTAATATATCCTCCATCACCTCTTCAAATACATTATAATCACTATTAGGAGGCCTATAAACACATATAAGTATATAATTATCTAGTTCTATACATGAGATTTCTGTACAACACTCAATAGAAAGTCTAACAATGTCAGCACGTTCCTTTACTTTAATATTATTTCTTGCAATTATCATAGACCCACCTCTGTTAACTGACTTTCTATTGAAGCAGCTGACAACATTATAATTATTTAAACTGAACATCATATTGCTTTCTTTAAGCCAATGTTCAGTGAAACAGATAATGTCAATATTGTATTTTTCCAAAAATAATTGTATAATTAATTCACTGCCGGGAAAACTTTGTATGTTCTGATGAACAATTACCAATTCTAATTGCTTTCCCTTTGTCTTTGTTAGCAGTTTAAATCTGCAGTCAAATTACTTAAATCACTATTTAAACAAAAATTAATAGAATCATTTGTTATGTCACAATTTTTATATTGAAGTTTACCATGTAAACTGTTCATGAAGTCAATATTATAAGCCACTAAAGTGGCTATTTTATTCTTAGAAGATTTAGAAAGATACATTGTATCTTTTGTCAAATAAAAATCACTAATAAAACTATTAGTGTCAAAAAATGTAAAAACGTCACTATGACGACATGTCAATGTATGTAATAAATTATTAAGGTAATGTACCTTATTGTTAATTTTTTTATGATAATGGCTACTTGTATAAGGAAGAGCGCACAATACAATCTTATATACATTCAATTGTAACAAATATTGAATACCTTTAATTATATCCTGTCTATTTAATTTAATACTATTACCTAAAAATAACACAACTGTGGTCATTTTATTCATTTTAGTAGATTTAATTTTGTTAATAATTTGTGCAAATGATGCCCCTGGCATACAGTAATTTAATACATCACCCTTAAGATGATACTTCAATATAGACCCAAAATTACAGCCTATTCTGTCAGAAAACACCATTGTGCTACTTTTAGGAGTATAGTCACTGACACAAATCCCCTGAACTTCATTTATCTGCACAGTTGAAACTGAATTATTATTTGGCAAAGTTGAATGATCACATGTACAATGTTTAGTTAATGACTCAAAACGGTCAGCATTGTATTTACTGACATCAATCAAATCATCCATTGCTAAAATATGCTCCTGGATTTGAAAATGAATGAAACAAAATGCCAAAACAAAATATAGTTTATTGCGAAATCAAAGTATAAAAATAATTATATCTTTATATACTATGTACATATATTTACCTTTTATTTACATACAATAAAACAATACAGGTCATGGGTATACAGTATTTTTTTTAAACAATGGCTTGGGTAATTTATTTCTCTTTTAAGTGAATTGTTAAAAATAAACGAAAATCACTGGACTTGGTTTATGGAGCTGAGGTATACAGAAATAGCTGTACTTATATGACACTACACAGGTTGATTTCCGTTACCACTCAGATTGAGGCGAGGGAGAGTATAGAATCATGGCACTATGCAAAATGTACATATGCTTGTCTTGTAAAGCATTGAAAGTTTTAAATTTAATTATTTTTTTTTTCCTTTAAAGTTTTAACAAAAATATACACAAGTATTATATGTCATTATAAAAGTATTTAGATAATGATTAAGACGGCCTGGTTAATTTAATTGACTTATATAAAAGGAGGCAATGTTAGCTTTAATTTTGAAAATTTAAATTTATCTATTTAATCAACAATATATTCTGGATAATAAAAAAATTGAAGACATGAAAACGAAATAGTGGGTAATACACTAATTTTAAAATAGTAATTTTTTAAGTGTTACTATATCTATTTTTATGACCATAAATTATGCCATTTTATTTATCTAGATAACAAAATATATAATTGTGATTTCAGATTTAACAATGTACAATGCCTATATTCAGAGTTGTATATAATCAAAAGTTATCTATACCCAGCACCAAACATCTATATCTAGAACTAATTAAACATTTGTAATGACAAGGTTAGTTGACTAACACTATTTAAATAATATTGGCTGCCACATCATCCTCAGTCACAATGTTGAACAATATTTGTATTTATAAAATTCTAATTGTACTTAAGTTTGATCAATGACAATGAAAAATTACAGAAAAGTTAATAAAAACAGTGACAATTTCTTCACTATGATGATTTTTTATTGGGTTGCTTGGGCCATTTTCAGATGTTTGTAGCACCTGTAGCACTGCGACCTACAAAGATCTATTGTGCTCGCCCTTTTTTAAAGTTCGCTACAGTCGCAGGGACAAGGATTGAAGTATATATATATATACTATGATTAGTAATATGTGTTAACTATATTTTATTGTAATTTAACTATTACTCCCTGTGTACAAGCAGTATGCCTGTTTTAAATTTTTAATATTCTTATACACATAATTCGAAACATTTATTAAACACATTAACATCCCTATGTTATGAGCTCCTTAACATCCCTATGTACCTATGAACTTATAGGTACATAGGGATGTTAAGAAGCTCCGTAACCGTAACCGAAACTATAGGATATCCGATATAAAAAAATATCAGTAACCGTAACCGAATCCGAAATAAAAGTTTTGGATAATACCGGATAGGGGCGGAGCCTAATTGAGACACGTTATGTAATAGTAAGTAATTTTATTAACTATTTGTATTTTACTTTTGAAATTTCTTAAAAAATTAATATTCATTATCCGGAGCTAATGGATAATCTGAAATAATTTCATATCCATATCCCGTATAATAATCATTATTATATCCGAAACCTATCCATATCCATAACATCATTGGTACACATACACTAATTTTTTAACTTTCATGTATAAAATTACACTCATCACCTCTATAACAATATATATTATACATTGGTTACAGATTTTTAAATTTTACTACAATTTATCACAATAATGTGCTTCAAATGCAACAGAAATTTATCACAGTAATATTGCCTATCAAAATTCTTATAAATTTTGGTATATTACATATTATTTTGCCTAATGTTATACCTATGTTTAGCTAGAGACAAATACCAACACCAGTATATTTTGTTGATATCACATTTAACATTTATATTTTCACTTTTTTTGTACATATTGCAATTAACTAAACCAAGACTCAATTCTAATTAAATTTATTGGTGGGGTGTGAAATAAGAGTTAACAGATTGCACAACACTCTCTGGGACAGGTTTGGCTGCGACACCGGCTATTTCTAAGCCCAGATTTTCAATTTTGTGTGCTGTTGTGTTGCCGATAGCAAAGTGTGGCAATGTAGAGAGCTTGTTGTTGAAGGTCTGCAGCTGACGATGAATGTACTCGCACCCCGACGGGCTGAAGAACACCATGCAGCACGGGTCCTGGTCCCCCTCGTTCAGTGCTATCAAATCTTCTTTAAGACTCTCGTTCTCCTTGGTTTCATACACCGTGACGGAATCTATTGTAATCTCCTGCATCTGCAACATGTTGGGAAGGGTCTCCGATCTCAGGTTGCCACATGGAAATAAAAATTTTGAAGTCTTTGTATTCTCGGTACTGATTAATTTGGCTAGGTTTTCGGCATTACCTGCAGTGCTTCCCAGCGGTTCCAGGCCTAGTGAAAGAGTTATTTTTTGACTGCTCACAGGGCCTACTGTGTAGACTTTTTTCATATTCCATGTTACAAACTTGGAGGGATCCCAACATTTGGACACGGCGTCTATGGCGCGAGGGCTGGTCAGTATTAGGCCCTCGTACTCGTTAAGTGCAAGTTTATCTTTGAGAGCGTCAAGGTTTATGAACGAGAATCGTAAGGGTTCCACAAACACCACTTGATAATTGTTCTCAGTGAAAGCTCTTTTGTAATCTTCTGATGCACTTTTGAATAAAACAACTTTCTTCATGTTAATGTCGATGCGTAACCGTAGGCCTACTGATAGCTACTCAACAAATCCTTATTCTTTATTTCAAAGGCGAGCTAGTTGACCCTGAGGAAGGAGGATGTTATTATTGTAAAACGCTGGACGTTCACGAGTCAACACATTCGATTAAACAGGTAATTTCCATGCATAACACTTTAGCACTTACATGATGTTTACAGAATAGACAATTGACACAATTAAAAGTAAAACAACTGAAGTTAGTATTAAATGAAATTAATAATGTAACAAAAACTAAGAAAGCTAAGTATTTAATATATAAAAATATTTAAATAATGTTAAGGAAAAGAAATTATGAAGAATTGAAAGTTTATTAGAAATTAGAATAAACAAAGTTTTTTTCCAATGACAACTTGTTGAAGTTGACAGTTTTATCTGACTTATCTTGTCAGTTTTTTTTTTGTTTTATTTATCCTTAATGGAAAGGCAATCAGTCTAAGCCCATACAGCCGTTGTCTTTGGTATCATTTCTGTATTTTATTATCTTGTCAGTTTCAAAGGACTGACTTACGATGAGACGCAAACTGAATGACAATATGTGGTGCAAATGTCAGTCCTAGCTTCTTTATAAGAATTTAAGGCGCTGGATGCAACGTATAAAAACAGAGTAAAATGCAAGTTTTGGTTGTGACAATAGCTTTTAAATCTAGAAGAAAAAAATCCGACGTTTACTCTGTCAAGTATTTATTAAATAAATTTATTTTGATAAAGTTCACATTTACATATTTCGATAAGATTCCAAAAGAAAACTAAGCAGTTTATGTTCGATAACTAACTTACTTGACATAATTTACTGGCGATGTGAACCGGGAGTCGATGTTTGTGGCTCCCGATGCCGTTGAGCACATGTTCAAGCGGGCTTATCGTGACAGCGCTGGTGGCACTGCTTTTTCTACCAGCGCAGTATTACGTACCAGACTTGTACTCCAAGTCGGAGGAGGAATTCGAAACACCACAGACTCCCACTGTTTCCCCGCCAACAAACGCTTGGTTCTACCTTGCATTCACTCATTTTCCCCCTCTAGACATATTTTTTACACTCGTACTATTGATGTCAGCCTTCCTTACGTATATATGCGAATGGATTCAAAGGAAAATAATGGAAAGAAGAATAGTCAAGGTGATTTATAATTTCCGTCATTGTAACTTATTTATTAACGTATATGAATCTAGTGAATTATGAGTACCTACATTAAAATTATATTATATGATGAGGGTACTGTAAAAACCTTTTTATGTTTACATAGTAACTGTTTTTTAACATAAAAGATATTATGAACCTCAAAACTTTTGCTAGAGTAATATACTGATATAATATAATATTAATATAATATAATTTCTAATTGGAAATATAAATAATATTTATTCAAATAAACTTAATTTAAGTACTTTTGAATGGTCATATTTTTACTATTCTACCGCTCATACCGGAATGCAGAGTCACAAGTAGAACCAGCAAGAAACTTGCGTGTTCTTTAGTGTTGTTCGGAATTATTTTTTTTAGAATTGTGTAAAAGCCGAATAGCAAAGTTGATATAAATAAATTAATAGTCAGTTTAGTTACATAATTCCATGTTATCAGAGCAGACCAGTCCTACAAGCAGCACTCGGTCACGAGTAAAAATAAATACTTGTTACAGTTTCTTTATAAGTATATATATTTTTATTGGGTTGTTTAAGCCATTGTTAGGTGCTGGTGGTGCAGTTGCTTGGACCTGTAGCACTGTGACCTACGAATCTACTGTGCTCACCCTTTTTTAGAGTTCGCTACCTAGACCCGTCAGGGACAAGAATTCAAGGATATTCTTAGGAGCGATGGTTTTTATCTCCTCATGAAAGAGTGTAAACTTTCCAAAGGAGATATATCGTTTATACATGAGTGGGCTACAACCATATAGGTTGTGTAGTGGCGTTTCCTCATCAGTTTAGCAAAATCTGCAGATTTTTGTTCTTTATATTACTGTGCCTTCTGTGTGTGCTCTTAAATGCAAATAAAAGATGTATCTGTCTATCAAACAGTTGAACCAGTACTTGTTTGCGAGCGTGGACCGTCTCCGCGAGTGGGACGCCCGCCACGAACAGCTGGAAGCGACTCTGAAGATGGTCCAGAACGCCACCGCGGAGTACAACCTGCTCCTGTACTTACTGCTGCGGAAGCACCGCTGCTTGGCCGCGCACACAGGTCCCCCCTCCAACTGCTTCTTCGATAAGGAGTTCGAGGATGACCTTTTTTTAAGGAGCCCTACGGTCGAGCAGCCAGCGCTGTGACTAGCTGTATTATAATTAATATTTCTGATTCGTGTTTGATTGTTCAATATACTTATATAGCATTGTTTTTAGTGTCTTTAATATTATATCCCAGTGATCGAGGATTATGTCGTAAGGAAAGTGTATAATATGAGCGTGGATGGATGGAGAAGAAGAGGACGCCCTAAGAAAAGATGGATTGTGTGAAAGATGATATGAATAAAAGGAGAGTATGCTCAGATATGACGACCTATAGAGAGCCCCAAATAATGGGATAAAGACAAGCCCATGAAGACGAATATTATATCCCAGTGTTTTTTTTGATGATAATGGAATGGTGCACCCGCCTGCCCTAACGGTGTACGCTGGCGGGGCACCAGTGGAGGATGATAAGATGAGCATGAGGTCAGGTCAGTTAGCCCATCGTGACAAATTCACCAGGAATTTAACACGATGGTTTCCAGGGGGAACCGCGTGGAGGTCGACCTGACATGGTACATTGCTAGCAATGGAGTTATCAATCCAATGTGGATTGATAACCCCTTGCCCCCTATCCCAGTGAGTTCAAAAGGCAAAAAATAAAAACAAATAATAATATACATATATACATATATCCCACTATATAATAATGCGTTGCATTAGGGATACTAGACAACTGATATAAATACTTAGATATTTTTTTGTAATTATACATACATGTTATACATAAAAAACACTCAGACCGATACAAACAATCATACTCATGAATACAAATGTTTGTACCGCGCGAGGACTCGAACCAGCGACCGTCGGAGGTAAAGCTGTGTGCATTTATATCGGTCTGGGTGTTTGTATATTATAAAATTGAGTATTTATACCAGTTGTCTAGTAACTATAACATAAGGTTTGCTTACCGCGGGACTAGATGGCGCAGTGGGTCATTATTATAAGAGAATTATATAGTACTAGCTTTTGCCCGCGGTTTCGCTCGCGTTAATTTATCCCCTTAGGGGTAGAATTAATCAAAATCTTTTCTTAATAAATTATAACGTTTTCCGCAAACAAACTTATTCTTGCTAGATATTGCTGTTATCTATAAATTCATCTATCCTATAATAGGCTTTTTTTTACATAACATTTGTTTAATAGAAAATTTTAATGCCTCTCTGTAAGATCTAGAGTAGATTCTGGCAGTTTATTATAAAATCTTACTCAATTACCATAGAATGAATTACTTTGTGTAGACGGCATTTAGGTAAAATTAGCTTATTTTTATACGTACGCGTAAGTTTGTACTTGTACAGTCTTTAAGTTTGTTGAAATTATCTAAGTGTTTCCTTGTATACGTAATTCATTACGATGTTGTTGGTCGAGACGATGTATATTACAGATGGTAATAAACTGACAATATGTTCATAGAAATAATGATCTTATATACTAAATGACAATAGGAAAATGTAAGGTGGGGTGACACAGTTTAGACACAGCAGTGCTTAGTACACAATATTGGATTTGTCTTACTAGACATCATTAAATGCAATTATTATTTTGATGTATGTAGCTGTGTCCCATACATTCATATCATACAGTTTCGTTCATTCATTCATAACCAATACAGTATCAATAGATCGGGTTACCGTCGCTCACGTCCCAGTTGACTCGCATAAACATCAGCTCGCCCGCTATCCGCTGCCTTTCAACAATATGATCCCCATAATGAAGCTGTTTGTATTCGCCGGCAGCGCCCTGTAGTTCCCTCTTTCAATTATGGTTCTCAGTTGATTTGATCAGGCCCGTCTTTCACCTATTAGAGGCCCTGGTCACATTAGGGTAATGGGGCCCCTATGACCATTGTAATAAAGCACTATTTTGTTAAATTAAACAAATTAGTTTTTTTAACACGTATACCTTCAAAACGAACTAGTTGTTTGGGAAACTACTCTCTGCTACCAAAATGTTAGGGAAAACGGCAGGTCAGGTACCTGTATGGTTCTGCGGATTTCTTGGGCTTCAGGGTCTCGAAGATATCTTCGCTAGCTTTCACACACTTTCACAGTAGGTTTTACAGTTCTAATTTATTTTAATTCACAACACAATGCGCGCGCGCGTCATGGCCGCCGTACAGTCAGTTTGTTACTAGTTAATGGAGGGGAATGAAAGACGCGGGAACAGAAAACTAACGGACTCTAATATAATAATCTGTGCTTACGATGGTATAGGGTAGATTTTAAACACTAGTCAAAAATATTTTTAAAAAGTTGTTATGTGTTGCGGTGTCCAAGATGTTGTTAGACATCGGTAAGCATTTGTTAAGACTGTGGACTGTGGATGAACTGTGGATTAAGTTTGTGGACTGTTCGTTTGGTAATAACACACATTTTCCTTGACTCAAACTATGTGCTGGTACCAGAGAGCAAGTGTTATGAATATTTTTATTTTAATATTACGATACCGTTATTAGAATACGTAAAATGCACCGTACGCATCACTGTGGGTATTTTTTTTATTATTGTTTATTTTTTTTCTCCATTTACAGTTTTATTTTTTTTTATTTGAGGGCTATCTAAATATATATAACTCAAAGGTGGCTGACATAGTGATCTATCAACGCACAGCCCAAACCACTGGACGGATCGGACTGAGATTTGGCATGCAGGTAGATGTTGTGACGTAGGCATCCGCTAAGATAGGATTTCGATTAATTCTACCCACATGGGGATAAAATAGGGGATGTCAATATTAAACCGATCGGGCTGAGACTTTGCATGCATAAAGCTACTATGATGTAGGCATCCCCTAAGAAAGGATTTTGATAAATTCCACCCCTAAGGGGCTAATTTAATGCGAGCGAAGCCGCGGGCAAAAGCTAGTTACGTATATAATGTTTTACGATTATTATAATTTTCCTTTTTATTATTTATATACTTTTTCTCTTAGATATTATTATTTTTTTTATTGTATAATATCTGTTTTATAAAGTTTACGTATACGTATTTTTTTATTGTAATATACATATGTATGTGCGTCCGTAGTAGTCCGTACTGTGGGCACAACTGAAAACAGCTGTGGAAACTTATGTTTCCAGCATTAAGCTGAGTTGTGGTCCACATTGACTCTGTTTTTTTAATGTGTAAATTATTCTTGTACTTCTTATGTCATTACTGTATAAAACGAGTTAACAAATTCTATTCTATTCTATTCTGTTCTATTCTGTTCCATTCTGTTCTATTCTGTTCTGTCCTGTCCTATCCTATTCTATTCTCTTTTATTTAATGGAGTAGGGACTAGACTAGACTAGCCTTTCGAATGTCTGTCGTCTGTCGCAGCGACCGAAAGTGAAGAGGCGGTATGCGCGTGCCAACAGTATTTTTTCAAATGCGTTTCGATCTTATTTCGTTTAAATAATGACTAAATTGGTTAAAAAGAAGTCACGGTTTTGCGGGCACAGATCTGTGACAAGATGGTAATACGGTTTGGGGCCCCAATCCATCGCCGGGCCCTGGGCACGTGCCCAGTGTGCCCAGAGGGGAAGGGCCTGTATTTTATCATGTTTGGCAAATAGATAAAGAGATTGGATCCAACATTCTCGGCTGCTGGAGGACGGAGGGCTGCTCATTACAAAGTTTGAGCGCGTAACCATAAACCTAATGTCACTAGTAATGAACCAACTTTCCACTACCTGCCTATTAAGTCGGTTTGGTTGAATAATTTTCATGTCATTGAACTAGAGTAGAGGCGAGATATAATTATATTATATAGTTAGGAAACCTAAATATATACATATAAATAAAATTGGAGATTACAAACAGTTTGTAATATTGAAATAACCGTTTTTTACTACATGCATATGAATATATATACGGTACATATACCAAAATAACATTTTTTATAAACGGCTAGTCTCTTTTAACAGGCTATTTTTATTTTAGAAAAATAAAATTAACGAATTTGTAAAAAATGTTAATTTGGTCTGTTTGTTCCAGATAATCTCTGAAATGGGTGGATCGATTTTGACGGGACTTTTATTGGCAGGTAGCTGATGTAATAAGGTGTAACTTAGGCTAGTTTTATTTTAGAAAAATAAAGTTAACGAATTTGTAAAAAATGTTAATTTGGTGTATGTACTGTATTTATATTCATATGCATATAGTGAAAGACGGTTATTTCAATATTACAAACAGACGCTCCAATTTTATTTACATGTATAGATTGGTAAGTATAGAGAAAACAAAGTATAGTTATACAATAGTATTATATAGTAATACACTACCCCAGGTTTTGTGCTGAAAAACAGCGTTGCAGCGCTCCGCCGCTGCAGCATTATGCTGAGCACTGTTTTATTTTTGTAATTGTTGCAAAGTTTTGAGTTTTTGTTTTGTTTCTTTAATGTGTGTTTTAATTTTTTTAACATCTACCGAATAAATATCATTTCATTTCATTTCATCGATACATATAAATAAATTTGGAGTGTCTTTTTGTAATATTGATATAACCGTTTTCTGTTACATGCAAATGAATATAAATACGGTACATACACCAAAATAACATTTTTTTCAATTTTTATTTGTCTGTCGGTCTGTTTGTTCCGGCTAATCTCTGAAATGGCTGGGCCAATTTTGACGCGACCTTTTTTGGCAGGTAGCTGATGTAATAAGGAGTAACTTAGGCTACTTTTATTTTAGAAAACTAAAGTTAAATTCCACGCGGACGACGTCGCGGGTACAGTTAGTTTCATATAATAATAATAATATATTTATTTGTCAGAATACGGTATGTACAATGGTGATAATTATATATTATACATGTTTCATCATATTCTGCTGTTTCCAGCGTACAAATATTAATTCTGTAATCCTAATTATAATCAATCAAGCGATTTATTTGTCAGAAATATAAATTGCAGTACGTGACAATAATGTACTAAAATACGCAATCATTTGGTTGGATCTTTATAATTACATTGGAAACGAGGACAAATGAAGGGATATCCGCACGGAGGAAACCCTTTACAGAGGAGCCACCCAGTACCCCCGGCGCCCCGG